CTCCGAGCCCGGGGATTCTACTTGACACTACTCTACTCGGGGGCGCGGTCTCGCCCAAGATCGTGCCTTCCAACACCGTCATAAATGGTATGATATTCTCCCGTTGGACAAACGTATCCTTTTGCAAACAGCTAGCCTATTCTGGTTAGCAGTCGGCCCTGGCATTCTCTCCTCTTTCTGTTGGTCAATCTCTTCCCATTTCGGTAGAAGAAAGGCCCTCAACGGCTGGGGTTCCTCTGTATCTTCTAACTCGTTAAAAAATCCAGCCTCCACCATATGAGACTCTTTTTTAGTAAATGGTCGATCGGAGCAACGGACCATTACTTACTTCCCGTTCCAGAACCCCTGCATGCATTGGTGATACAAGAATGGTACGATCCCGAACTTGTGCATCCATCCTCGACCCATGAGCAAATGATAAGAGGTGTCCGAATCAATGACATGAAATTTCACCGAACTTTTAAACTTCCCAATGGCCAGCTCGGCCGTCACGTGCCCCTCAATTCTCCGGATATCATTTCCAAACCCAGCGATCTCAGTTGGCCTTCGGATAAGTTTCTCGTCTGGGAGACCGCTGCGGCGAAAGACTTCCAGAGGCATGATATTGAGAGACGAACCATTATCCAGAAACGCCCGTTTGAGCTCGACCCCATTGAGCGACGCCGTGACATACAATGGCCTGTTGTGTGGAATAGGGACACATTTGTCTTCCTCTGTAAAGACTATAGCTGACCCAGCTGACTTTTATGATACAGGGAGTGGCGCGATGGACGCTACCTCTTTGACACCCTCCTTCACCGCTAACCACAGAAACTTCGCTATTTCTTTCTGGGCAAAAGGGGATAAATCCATCTTTTGAAGAATATTCTTGACACGGGCCGTTCCCAATAAACGAAACGCATTCAGGTCATGTTCTTCTACCAACGTGACCTGGTCGGCATCCTTCCCGACCCCTTCCTTGCCGATTGCCACTTCCAATACCATCATCGCTACGCCTCGATCATGCGCAGGGAAAGGCTCCTCTCTCATATCCCTGGGGGGAAGAATGAGTTCACCACTAGCAATCCGCCTGTGGAAAGTATTTCGCAACGCCTAACAGTCATAGGTGGGGTGACGAGTATGCCGGTGGTACAAGCAATACTTCGGATTAGCCATCTCCTTTGATGTGGGCTCGTGGGCCACCTCGTGCAGCCTGATGTCTCCATGTTGGATCCATTTTTAAAGAATGGTCTCTACTTCCTTTGGAGTGCATGGGAACGGCGGAGGAGCCTCGTCCGGATTCTTCGAGCGGGGAGCACGGGCTGGTCTTGCGCCCCTCTTATTCGGAGACTCGTCTGCAGCTGAAACTTGAGGTCTACGCATACCTCGATATTCTTCCTGTGTAGCGGCCTATGCACAAATAACGAGGTTACTTGCCAAGTTCTGGGATGCCTCTATCAGGTAGGCGAAAGTGGGGAGTTTGAGGTTAATGAGATGGATTCGGTAAGATCCCTACATGCCTTGTATGCAAATCTTTGCCAGCGCTTCCTCTTCATGGGTCTCATAGCATTCCATGGCATGAAATCTATGGATGTAGGTAAACAAATCCTCTCCTGGGCCTTGAGTCTCTTTAGTTAAGGAAAATGTAGTCACCCTTTCCTCTACGTGAAAGAGCTTCGACTGAAAAATCGTGGCTAATTGGTTCCAGGTAGTGAGTGACCCAGATTCCAAATTTGCATACCATTTGTAGGCCCTATCCGTGAGAGTTTTTGAAAACTCCCTAAAATGCAAGGTATGATCGTTTCCGAAGGGCTCTAAAGCCTCAATAAACCGTACCACATGCTCTCGGGGGTTCCCCTTCCTTCCATCAAACTTGCTAAACTTGGGGGTTAGGTACCCTGGGGGGTAAGGGAGAAGCGCGATGGATTGCGCGTAAGGTGGTTCAGGGGCTACCTCCTGCATCAGTATATTTTTTTCGTTTCGTAACAGTGTTTGTAGGTCCGCCATAGTTACATATGGCGATCGCTGCACGGGGTCCTGCTGATGGCCAAATCCTTCCGAGCCCATGTTTCTGTGACAAGCCTATCTCCGACTAGTACTCGGCGTACTCAACCTTGCAGGCGCTGTAAGAGGAGTACTAAAAAGGGTTCGACGAGCCCACGGCGATGTATCCCGCGTTCGCCTGTGTCGACCAGTGGCTCGCCTTACCTCAGCTGACGACGAGAGCGTCTGTCACGCCGGATTGTCTGGGGTTGCATGTTCACCAGAGAGAGTATCACTCGGATTTGCGCCTTGCCGCAGTGCTCCTTGGTCAGTAATCTATCGCAGCAGGGTCACTACCTCCCTCTGAGTGCCTTCTAGCTACTCCATTCTATGCGACAGTGCGTTATAGGCTTCGACTAGCGCATCAGGATAGATAATCCTGGTTCCAGGGAAGTACGATCTCGGCATACTTACAGACCCATCGTAGCCCTCGCCCAAGGCAGGGTTGGTTTGAGAGGGCGGACTGATCTCTTGTATGCTTAACATAGGTGAAGCGCTCCTCCCCAGTGAAGTCGCCAAAATGTTAATGGTAGTTCGTGAATAGGATAAGGAGATCATTCCACGCAAGCCAAGAGATCTGAGATCAGTATCCAAGTGGAGATCTAAGCAACATAAGGGATTCTCTAGGTATGGAGATTAAGAAGGGGAAGGCCAACCTCGGTACCATGCAAACTCGAGCTTGTCACAGGATAAGTGTTAATGTGGTGGTTGATCCATTTAAGGCTGATTAACACCCCTATTTATAGCGTTTACCTCCTTGGTCAATGCCTTTTAGTCCTTTAGCTGAGCCCGCTCTTATCCAAAGGTTCGATGGCCTATTCGTCTGACGGATGCGACACTGATGGATGGGTCGTGGCGCTTTGCCCCCCGGTCAAAGAAGGTAACGACGCTCCCTAATTAATGCGGGTCTTATCAAATGTCTTTCGCAATTAATGCGTTGCTTATCCTTCATCGCTCGAGCTTAGGTACCGGGTATCCTTTCCCCCTTGTGTTGGCCTCGGACTGAGGCGACCCCTTAGATCTCAGCCACCTATCCACATGTCCTCAGATTCCCGTACTTCAGTAGGGATAAGCCCTTTTCTAGGTCCTACCTTCATGACCTCGCAGGTTCCCATCTCAGTTCTATCCCGAGGTCTTCTTTGCCAAGAAGGGAAATGTGTACACAGGTTAGTCGAGGTTGCTCTTTCAAAGAACACCCTCGAGCGAGCCCGGGGGGGGGGGGGGGGGGGAGGAGCCCATCCGACTGGAGCGGGGAGCGTCCACAGTAGAGGAAGGGTAGCGACCCCTCCCTCGACCAGTGAGTTCCATTATTGGATAGGTAGCTCGAGAATACCTAATCCACCATGGGCACGCCAAGTTAGCACTGGCCAGTTATGCCTATGTTGCAGAGGTGGCGCCACTTAATCAGCTATCGTGGCGCGGTCATCAACAGGTAACAAGGTCAATTTATTGTGTCAGATGTGGGTGTCATTGTTAACTTTACGAAACTTGAGTAGGTGTCATTGTTTAAAAATGGATTAACTTTCATCTGGTTATCAATACAGCAAACCTCATAAAGGTAGACCTGTCAATGGAACGGATCCTGATCCGATCCGAATCCGATCCGATTAGTTAGATATGGATTGAACAAAAAATCCGATAACCCGGTTATGATCCGAATCTAATAATCCGTTAGCTTAACAAATCGGATATGGATTATGCTGATCCAATTCGATAAAATTCCGATCCAATTGAAATTATATATATATATATATATATATAATTATATATATATATATAATTATTTATCAATAATTTTACATATATATATATATATATATATATATATATATATATATATATATCAAAACTCTTATTAGAATCGTATTAGAGGTAACCCAAAAATCCAAAATAATAATAATAATAATAATGTTATATATAAATATTGTGGTGTCCTCATGCATATGCTAATAAATCTTTTAGTACACGTACTAATAAAATCATACTCTTTAAAATTATATATGTTAGTAAATATTATTTTAATCCAATTTCGAATCCAATCCGATCCGAGTCCGAGCTAAATAGGATATGGATTGGGACATTTAGTCCGAGAACCCGTTAGTGATCCGAATCTGATAATCCGTTTACTTAACAAATTAGATATGGATTTGATCGATCCGATCCGAATCCGATCCATTAACACGTCTACATAAAGGTGTGAGTGTTATTAACCCCTAAATTTATTAAAATTCTCTTATTTTTAAAAATTTAAATAAATTAATTGGGAATTTTCAAATTAAGCAATCTTATGATTGAAGGTCATGTAACACATTTACAATTATATAATTCAAGTATTAATGAAATTTTGTTAAGAGTCAAACTTAATTTGAGTTGATTTTTTTGAGACTATCTTCAAATATTACCATTCATACTTCTATACTTATTTTTTTTGAAAAATGAAAAACAAATAGACCTAAACTCAACATCTGGCTAAGCGAGGAAGGAAAAAAAATTTCGTTGTGCTAAAAGAATCAATCACAGAGGTGAGAGGAGTATACATGTTTCTTGAAAATTAATTTAAAAAGAAAAACTACAATTTATTTGTTTAATTTTTGGCCAATAAGATCTCTTTGTAAACAATTTGTACGGGTATAAATAAGTTATTTTCATTTCCCATTCACGCCGTCACGGCCCACGGGCACTGTTTGGATTCGAACGCGATCCGAAACTAAAACCGCCTTTGACTTCCATTTTTTCCGGCTTAAAAAAAAATGATGCTAAGTTTGCTAACTCAACTTCCATGGTCGTTATCTATAAATCACCGCCCTATCATTAGCTTACACGTAATAGCACCACACAAACGTCAAACTCACCCCGGTCTCTCTCACAACAAGCCAATGTCCCAGAAGACGTACGTTTCTAACACTCAACGTCGCCTTGTCCTCCGCGTATAGAGTATAGATTGCCCCCCCCCCCCCCATCTCGCGCTTTCTCATCACTTTCTCATCAGTCAAATGCGCTGTAATTATGTAGTTATTTCTCTATTCACACCTACCCTCCAAAACTTGCTGTAATTATGTAGTTATTTCTCTATTCACACCTACCCTCCAAAACTTGCACATATATATTATACGTTTAATTGTTTCATCAAATTCTCTCAAATCTCTTCCTTCAGTGGGTTTTTGTTTTTTTTCTAATTGTTTGATCAAATTCTCTCTCATTCCAAACAACCCAGTAAAATATTTTCTCAAATCTCTTCCTTCCATGGGGTTTGGAATACTATGTGCGCTTATTTACTTATGTTTCTTGGTAAACCAGTCTGTTTCAGATCCCAGAGCTACAGAGGCGGCTCTGATATGTAGCAACATAAGCGCAGCTTCGTCTGATCGCCAAGTGTTTGTTGCAAACTTCTTGGCAGCCATGGAGGCGTTGACTCCATTAATTGCCAACCAAGGATACGGGGATGTGGTGAATGGGAGTGGTAACACAACAGTCTATGCCTTTGGTGAGTGCATGAAAGATTTGTCTCAAAATGATTGCAATCTTTGCTTTGCACAGTGCAAAACCTCAATCCTCAGGTGCGTTCCATTTCAGAAACTGACTCGTGGGGGTAGAAATTTCTTTGATGGATGTTACTTGAGGTATGATGATTATATGTTCTTCAATGAAAGTTCGAGTTCGGTTGATACGACTGTGTGTGGGAATGGTAGTTTTGGTGGGAATCAGACTCTGTTTAGGTCTAATGTTGTTGAGTTGATGAAGAATTTGAGTGTGGAAGGGCCTAAGAACGATGGGTTCTTTGTGGGTTCTGTGAATAGAGGGAATTTATCCGTTTATGGGTTGGCTCAGTGTTGGGAATATGTGAATGGGAGTGCTTGTGAGCATTGCTTGGCGAAATCGGTGTCTAATATCAGTTCATGCCTTCCAATGGAGGGAGGGAGGGTGTTGAATGCCGGTTGCTACATGAGATATTCGACGCAGAAGTTCTATAACAATTCAGCAAGTGTTGCATCTGATGGAGATGGAGGTGAGTTGAATTTTTTTATAGATAGCATGAAATTCGCGTCTTGGAATTGGAATCAGAGAAAAACTAGTTTATAGTTTGAACTATTTATATGCTTCATTTTAAGTTCCAATTTTTAAGATGTGGATTTCATAATATCAAACACAATCGAGTTTTGTCATGATATTTGTTTTTCTTGCATTCTAGTTATTTTGTTGCGCATAATTGGACTTAGTTTGAATTTTATATTCCAGAGTAAACCTTGTTTGATCCTTGAAATTGGTTTTATGGAATTGTGATCCATGAGAAATAATTCTGATTTGCAAGATTAACTATAATAAAAATGATTGATATCCAATGGTTTCATGTGTGCAAATTGGATTATTGCAAATGTTAATTCAGAAAGTGGAGCAAGCTTAGCAACAACTGTCGTTAAGCAAGATACACTTGTGTATCATTTTCTAATTGTGCTCACACTAGCCGAAGCTAAAGAAATGTCTTGTCTATTTTTTTCCTTTTGGTTCCAATTAATGAAATTTGTACTAAGCCATGGTATGCCGAAGCTAAAGAAATGTCTTGTCTATATTTTTCCTTTTGGTTCCAATTAATGAAATTTGTACTAAGCCATGGTATCATATGTTAATGGTCATCAGGAGACAGCCGCCTTGCTGTTATTCTGGCTTCAACTTCAGCTGCTTCTGCCTTTGTGTTGACGGTAGCGGCGGTTTTTTTCTTCATGAGGAAAAAAGTTGTGAAGAAGAGGAGAGGTACCCATGTCTGAAACTTAGGATATTCGTCTTCAAATATTTGTCATCGTTTATGATTTTAAGTTATATTTATCTTCTTCTTCTTCTTCTTCTTTTTGTAGAGGAGAAGCAACTAGGTGCTTTATTGGCCACTGTAAACAAGTCCAAACTCAATATTTCATATGAAACTCTTGAAAGGGCCACAAACTACTTTCATGATTCCAATAAACTCGGTCAAGGTGGATCTGGTTCAGTCTACAAAGTAATTCCTTATTTCACCTTTTATTCTCTTAGCAGGGAAGCATATTTTTACTTATGGAGTTCATTAATCCTTTTCTCCCCTTCCCCCTTCCTTGGATCAAACAGGGGATTTTGCCGGACGGACAAACAGTTGCCGTAAAGAGGCTTTTCTTCAATACCAAGCAATGGGTGGATCATTTCTTTAATGAGGTCAACTTGATTAGTGACATTCATCACCCGAATCTAGTAAAGTTGTTGGGATGCAGTATTACAGGCCCTGAAAGCCTTCTTGTTTATGAATATGTGCCAAATCAAAGCCTTCTCGACTACCTCTTCGGTTGTTCTCCCATCCATGAACTGAATTTGAGTAACTAGTTTTTTTCTTTTCACTACTTTTTAATGATGATTTTATTTATTTGATCCAGTTAAAAAGAATGTTCAGCCGCTTGGGTGGGAAGTGAGGTTTAATATTATATTGGGTACAGCTGAGGGCTTGGCCTATCTTCATGAGGAATCGGAGTTGAGGATCATACACAGAGATATAAAGTTGAGCAATGTACTTCTTGATGAGAACTTGATGCCAAAAATTGCTGATTTCGGGCTTGCAAGATTATTTCCAGAAGATAAGACTCACATCAGCACTGCCATTGCTGGTACACTGTAAGTCTAGTCCCCCCGGTTGATTCATCTTCTAAGTTCTTCAAGCCTTATCTAATTCATGGTTTTTCATTTTTCTCTTCCCTTAACTAAAAATGTAAAGCATTTGAGATTGCTAAGATAATGTATGTTTAATGTTAACGCCTTTACAATAAATTATAGCAAATTTGTGCATGTCTCACATGTCAAAAGCCTCTTCCCAGTGTTTGGCAACAACAAAAGTGATGGTGTTCCAATGTTAGCCGGAAGATAGATTCTAATGATTCCCTTGCTAAACTTATGTCATCTCTTAATTTTTAAGCCAACTGGTTTTTCTTGATTACAAAATTTCGAGTAATTCAAACACAACTACTAAATTTATCCTTCTGCTAGGAGTATGTGCATGTCTCCTGTTCAAGTTTTCCTTAATATTTAGCACTTCTTGTTGAATAAACTTGTCCTCAGTTTTGAGTTCACTATTTGACATTGCTGCTATGTTTGGAAGCACCAAATCCAAAGCACCGATTCGGTGCTCCCAAACACAACATCCATCTTATTTCTGTGATATTGAATTCTTGATGTATCTAGCATCTCTGTTTGTATATCTAGAGCAAGAGAAAGTTAATTATATTTACATCTGCAGAGGTTATATGGCTCCAGAGTACATAGTTCGTGGTAAATTGACTGAGAAAGCAGATGTATACAGTTTTGGAGTTCTTTTAATTGAAGTTGTCTGTGGGAAGAGGACCAATTCTTTCTCTCAGAATTCGTTCTCCATCCTAGAAATGGTACACCTCTTTTTGCTCGACATCTTCTCATTTAAATTTTATAGTCTGAGGAACTACTTCAAACATCATCTACATTTGTTATCGACTTTTTTATAGGTCTGGAACCTGTATGGAACAGGAAGGTTATGTGAAGCAGTTGATCCGTCGTTAGATGGTAAATATCAAGCAGAGGCGGCATCTACATTACTTCAAGTAGGTCTACTTTGTGTACAAGCCTCCGCTGAACTGCGACCATCTATGTCAATAGTTGTGAAAATGCTTACCTCTAACCATGAAATTCCTCAGCCAAAACAGCCACCATTTCTCAATTCTAGTAGTACAGAAATCAGTCCATTCAGTCAAAAACGCGGAACGAACAATTTTCAGCCCAGTTCTAACACCCAGTCTTCTGGTAATAGCATATCAGAAAGCTGGATAGAACCTAGATGACATCTTTTGTGTGTGTGTGTGTGTGTGTGTGTGTGTTTGTGTTTATACAAGATAGAAGATAGAGCTAAATGCTTACTGTAAATTGAATGTAAAACTAAATTCTTTGACAATGGCTTTGAGATTAGTTTAGAATGAAATTGAAACATCAAAAATTTTGTAAGCCTTGCACTAAAACCATTGTTTTTGTATAACAAGTTGTAACAGTTATGAAGCACCCACAACTTTTTTGTATCGACTTTAGATCATCTATGTTAATGATTTTATTTATTTGTTTTTCTCCTAATGCTTCTTCTTATTGCAAAGAAGAATCCAATTTATTATTTTCAATTCCTCCTTGACATTTGAAAGGAGTGTATATACGAAATGAAACTTGTATGAAAATAAAAAAATAAAAAAAAAAAAGAAATTTAAAGAGTTCACAATTAAATTGGTAGGTGGGGCAGCATTATTTGACCATCCATTCTTTGTACAATGATAAAAACTTCAAAATCTTGCTGGTAGCTTCTAGAAGATTCCAAACTAATAAAACACATAATTTATTTATGGTTTGAAATAATAGAAGAATACAGGTGGCTGCCGGGACCAAATCAAACGTTGTTTAGCTGTCAAACAGAGACTTGTTTTTCAAATTGATTGAACATATACAACGAGTAGTTTGTAACCAAATTGCCAATTGCATTCTCGGTCAATCATAAGCTATTGGTCTGCTACATATAATATTAAAGGAAAAAAAACGTAACCAGCTGCTCTAGTAAACCCGGAACAACCTTTGCAACGGTCATTACCTTTTCCATATGCAACCTCTCACAAACAGTGGCTATAAAAAGGTTCATTCTAAATATTTTTAAAAGGGAGGTTAAACATAAAACAAAAGTCAAAAAAATGACAAGGGATAATTAAGCATAAATCATATCTACCGTGTGGCTATTAAATTCCCCATGAGTCCTCCGCCGATTTCGTAATGTTTAGCATTAATAAATCCTGCTTCTAAAGCAAGCTTCTCCAACTCCTTTCCTGCATCAAAACAGATTAAACAAGAAGCTTAATGGCGAAAAAAAAAAAAAAAATTGTAGCAAAAAAAAAATTGTAGCAGCTAAGTGCGATTAACACCTTTAGACATAAACTGCTATGTAATATCCAGTGGTACACTTCTATTGACAATGAAGCAAAGGGCCTAAGAAGGAATCTTCCGAGGTATAGAGTATAGACTGATTAGTATAATCAAGAAACATGCAAAAAGTCTTATACTGTTGCTGATTCAGTGGAGAAATAAACAATGATAATATAATTAATTTATCGTGTACAAGACTAAGGGACGAAATTAAGTCACTGAATTTTTTAGTACTGAATTATAGTTTCGACTGCTTTACACAACTGGATTTTCAAAACGGAAAATTTTAAGGGTAAACTTTGTAAGTAAATTTTCTATTAAGGTGCTAACTAAATGTGGATTTCACTTAATGCTCTTAAGAGAGAGAATACTGAAGTTTTCCAGTATGGGACACTTGGCTATCAAACAGAATTAGGTTTCATGAAGGAAAGAAAAAGAAAACAGTAATAGGTTTTAAGACTACTAGATCCAAGTATCATCCACCTAAAAGTCCAAGAGATGCTCTATTTAATGAGAAGAACAAACCTGTGCGAAATTCACGAATTGAGTTTTTCAAATATTTGTACTCCTCTGCAAGGCCATAACCAGTAGCCACCGGAACAACTACATTGTCAATCATCCATTCCTTGCAAAATGAGTGATAAAAAAATTTAAATTTCATGTTCTATAGGCTATATATTCAGAAAGCATTTACTGCAATGACTGTTCAATAGAATGATTGTAAATGCACTCTAAAGTTGAGGTAAGTCAATTAACCTACATAAGACTTGTATTCATGACATGAAAAGATTTAAGTACTGGCACGACAACTAAAGGAAAACAACATGCCTAATTCTCTCCTATCATTTTAGATGCAGATATTTTAAAGTAGCTAGTTCTGTAAAGAAAATCAGGTAAAGATAAATTGCAAAAGGTGAACTGAAGTTATAATAATCCATCATATTACTAATTAACTATTTTACATGGACTGTAATGTATGTTCAACGATGGTTATATCTAAGCATCAAATATATTAAGTCATGAAGCCCGATCACAACTAAAAAATCATATTTTTCTCAGTTCTTTGATTTTATAAGGTAAAATGGTGTTTTCATGTAACAGGTGTTCAATACGGATATTTTACTTGTTTTAAAGTAATAATGTATTAACAAGAAAGAAAATAATGATGAGTTTGATTCTCATTTACAAACTAGTATCCTTAAATCATAACATGCTTGATAGGTGTACATCCAACAGACATGCAAGACACATATCATATACCCATACTAAGTGTCATGCGTCCACCAGAGTACTTCAGATATTTGGAAGATGTCAATGTAACGTGGCTGACTACCTCCACTGTGAAAACTTGCAGACAAATTCAACTAGGAAAGCTAGAGAAAAATTAGCCTTTTAAGACATGCACATTCTTGAACCTGAAACTGAACAAAATATAAACCTATATCCACACTTAGGAATCCACCACATAGTAGTATTGTCCAATATAAATCACATAAAGTTGACAAGGCCAAGGCACCCTCATATTTCACTACGGACTTATTGGTTACAGTCACTACTAGACAAACAAATCTTACATGCTTCTACAAATCAACAGCTTCACAAATGTCCAGCATGCACAAGAAGCAATGTCAAACGTTCCAAGCTTTCCTGTGAACATATAGTTGCTGTCCATTATTTTATGGTATAGTAATTTTAAAGTTACTGGTCCACCTTTGTCTTAGTGGCTTTGGGTGTTAATTCTCAAGCCCTAGATCGAGGTTTCAATACAGGTAGAGAGAGAAGAAAGAAAATTATAAAGTTGCAGGAATGGAAAAGCTGTGTAAGAAAACCCAAATATTAATTTTAGTTCATCAGTTTGAATAGCATTTAAATGTCAAATCAATATAAAAGAACTTTCTGCCTTCTAAGCAATACCTGAATAAAAGCACCAAATGGATGAGTGCTTTTGTTGAAGTCAAGGATGGATACTTTTGAACCTGGCTTCAGAACTCGAAACATCTCTGTCATAGCTTTATCTATGTTGACCACATTCCTTAACCCATAGCCGATGGTAATGGCATCAAAGCAACAGTCAGAAAATGGTAAATCAAGAGCATCGCCTTCAACCCACCTATGATGCATCACATGATATCAGTTTCCCTGATATTATTGTTTAGTAAAAAAACATCATCAAAAAGCTTATCAGTTCCAGATGCAATTGCATGGAATTACATAATTATTTAACTATAGCTGTAAGATAACATTGTAGAAAGATTTGGAGAAAGCATTGCTGATTTTTGTGAGTAATAGGCCTTATCGATTTTGATCAAGTGACTCAAGTCAGTTAATTAATCAACGCTTAGATTTATCAATTGCTCACTTAATATTCTTGTAGCAGGCCCTTGAGCGTAAATGCTGCCGAGACGAAGCAATCAACAATTGCTCCTTCGAGAAATCAAGACCAGTCACCTGCAAGTTGCAAGCAAGAAAGGAAGACCTAGTATAGATTTCTAAGTAAATTTCCAAATTTCTAGAGGGTAGATTTAAGTATGAGCTCCTCCAAAGCAAAGCGCATGAGTTATTGGAAACTAATGGAGCTAGCTATGAGAATAGAAATTCGCAAAATGTAGTAAAATAGAATAAGAAACTAGATCTATCAGATGTAGTTCCTGAAAATCCAGTTAGAATCAAGACATTGCAAATAATAGTCATAATAAGTAGAAGGCAAGAAGATTAAAGAAGGTTAAGCAATTGGGTTCTCCCCCACTGGGTAACAAGTCATCACCCAAAATAAACTACATCCTCTTAAGTACTATGGACACCTAATACTTTCTAGTAAACTAGTCTTCACCCATCTATTGATATAGTATGTTATATCATCACAGAGATTGAACTATTGAGAACCTTAGAGGAAGCTAAAAATGTAGAAAAGTCTGTGCAGTGAAAGAGCAACAGTGAGCAACTTTAGGTTTCTCCTAATACTTCCATAGTAGAACTAGATGCTAATTAGAGATAATACAATCATGAAATACCATATATTCGAGATAAGAAACTGGTGAAAAGGGCTTGGGAGTAACTGGAAATAGCTCCACTACTTGCTAAATCTCTGATGGCTCGATGATATAATTGAAAAAGAAAAAAAGAAGGAAAAAAAAAACATGCACGTATTACTGCATGTTTAGTACCAAAAATAATGAAAGACCAACAAACATAAAACAATTGATCGTCTATAATTTATAGTAAATTGTGTAACTTTAAGGTACAACGGGAATAAATTTCTTTAATTGATTTTGTGTCTAAGTGAGGAAGTGCTTTGTATCATTCATTCACGCTTCTTGGGGAGATTCTAGACAGGGGATATTAGTACTCCTGATTCGACCTCTGAGCTACGAAGAACACGAGTTTGTCTCAAATTTAATTCCCAGAATTGTGAAATTCCAACAAACCCCCCACCCCTCTCTCTCTCTCTCTCTCTCTATATATATATATATATATATTTATTTATGCTACAAAAAAAATAAAAAAATAAAAAGGCTAAATAAAGCTATATTTTTGGAAATGATACAGCATTTGGAGAGAAAAAAGGAGAGATTAGACTATCAGAAGATGAAATTGGTAGCAAAGATAGATCTAGAATAATAAGAATATAGTTACAGAGCTGGAATACACAAGTTCGAGATTGAAATTAATATCCTACATGGTTCTTAGAAGGAAGCACCTACACCCAATGCTACTAAACTTGCTCAGATAATTAAAATCATATGGAGGGTTAATAGATCAAATTTTAGAAGTTAATAAGATTTATCATTATGCATATAAGTCTTTTATGATTTTATGTGACCCCTTTCTAATATTATGGTATGTTCCAAATTCATCTTGTCGTCTTCATTATGTATATGTTCCAAATTTTCAATGCCATAAAGAATTATTTTCATAATAGTTCAAGCATTACAAGAGAGAATATATCATGAGAAAGTTATGATTGAACACAACTTCTTAGAGCATCACTGTATTGAAGGAGGCAAATCCCAACATGCAGTTTTATTCTAGAATGAGGCACAGAAACTATTAGGCACTGCTTCAAAATGATGCTTCACTCCCCCTACAGCAAAGTAGCAAACAAAAACAAGGAGAGGAAGACATAACATAAATGGCGAAAAAGAAAGATATAATGCCATTGAGGAAAAACTACTGAATGTGGGTGCCAAGCCTACTTGGGGATGGGAATTGACCTAAAAACCCACCAGCACAGTTGAGGCGGGTCTAGCGGAAAATACGGATGTGCACATATATAACTACATATTTGGATTAGATGCAGGCTTTAATGAGATTTAATAACCTCCTGAATCAGGATGGAGTCAGATTGCCTCAACTTAGTATGTCACATGTCTGGTTCAGTTTTTCCTTTTCAAATAACAGAAACACATAATACAGTAGGAAAATTTGTTTTGTTTACAGCTTTAGAAAAGCTGAAATTTCAAAGAACATTCTGTTATAGCGTCAAGAACTATTTTCTGAAACTAATTATCTACTCACACCCCACTCAAATTCACAAAGGGGGCAAGCAATCTCTTCCACAAAGAACCTTAAAGGCAAAGAATCAAACGCTCCACCACTCTCCAAAGAAAGATATCATGTCGCCATTAAGGTTGGATTTCCACATATTAAGCAGTATGGTATAATCCAAATGCCATTAACACACACACACACACACATATATATATGATCAAATTAAAGATAAATACGGAGAAAGAAGAAGATGAAACCTTGCCATTGGGTCCTACTTTCTCAGACAGGAGAAACGCCAAATCCCCACTCCCACAACACAAATCCAACACATTGTCTCCCTCTTTCGCTCTATGCAAACCCAATACAACAAACTTCAATACCAACACTTGTATGGATATATATGTGTGTACATGTATGTATGAATAAATATACAATGTTGGAAAATTACCCAGTCCAGGATACAGCCATGCGTTTCCATAATCGATGCTGACCCAAACTCAATAAGTCATTCAACTACACAAAGAACAAACAAAAATTTAGAAAAATTTCAAGTGTTAGAGAGTACATGGTAAGAGGTAGAGGGGTCGTACGTTATCGTAGACAGGAGCAATGCGGCTAAAAAGCGCCTGGCGGTCGTCAGCACAGCGAACCGGCCGCCATCTTGATCGGCAGGTATGACGACGTTGAGTGGGTAATGGGCTAAGAGATAGGTGGAGGGTAGACATTATCCTATCACTCACTTAAGCTATTTCTCACCGGATATATATATTAGGTTAGATCGAAACGGAAGAACATTATAATTAATAAGCAAATTAGCAATTTATGATTGCAAAATGGCAAATAAATGCATTATTTTAATTTTATTTATAATTGATAGATTTTATGGTTTTTGGTTACATTAAATTTTTTTAATGTATTTTTGTTGAATTGTAGCAAGTGTCTTGATCTTTAGAGCATTTTACAATTCACTATGGGGCATGCATCTCATCTCCCATTTCATATGCAAATGCCAATTCACTATGAGGCATGCATCTCATCTCCCATTTCATATGCAAATGCCAATTAACGAAAAAATTCAATAAAAATAACTCCAAGAAGTTTGGAACTTTTCATTTCTAAAATGTGAGGTAAGAATATTTGTGGATAACCTATGGAGATTCAAGATGTTATTTATTAAAGCAAAATAATTCAATTTATTTTTATTTTTATTTTTTTGAATTTTACAATTCAATTTATTTTCATTTCATGACGGGTAGTTGTATAATTTTCTTATTCCATAATGGTTTAGTGATCATGTTCAGGTTACAAGTTTTTTCTAACAAGGACATTTTGTGGTAGAGGGGGAGAATTTACAAATGTGTGATCGCATAGCCTCAATGTATTATCTACATCTTAAAGTTTGGATTTAGCATGGACTACAATCAGTCACTGTGATCATATAGTCTCAAATTTTTATTAAAAAAAATCTTTCATAAAAAAAAAAAAAAAAAAAAAAAAAAAAAAAAAAAAGTAGAAGAAGCAAGCATTCATCATAATGAGAAAAACCAATTTATAGGTGTGTACTTCTTAAATCAAACTCTATCTTTCGGTGGTTCTTGCACACAATAAAATTCAAACAATTATCTTACACACCATCTTGAGCTATTCTTAAACCTAAAAGGATCCAAAGGAATGTTGGTGAAAGAGTACCATACCAGTAAAATTTCTCTTCACTTCATTTGGTGATATTAGTTTCCACCAATATACCCATATATCATTTTAATATTGACAATAAATTTGAACCCTAAAGATGGAATGTTGGCGAAAGAGTACCATACCAGTGAAATTTCTCTTCATTTGGTAATATTAGTTTCCACCAATATAGCAATATATCATTTTAATATTGACAATAAATTTGAACTCTAAAGATTAAAAAAATAAAAAATAAAAATCAACCGTTCAAACCGTTAAAACATATGAAACATTTTATAAATCGAAAAAAGTACAAATGAATGAATAAAGTTATTAACATTCTTTACACATATATGTGAAACATGAAGGTGGCCTTTAAAATAAAAATGTAATGAATATGATCATAATCGGATGTTATTAACATTCTTTACCAATATATGAGAAACACGAATATGACCTTTAAAATTAAAATTAAAATGTAATGAATATGATTATAACTGAATGGCAGTCGCATTGCTTGAGTTACCGTGGACTCATTTTTTATTAAACCTCCTTACTAATAAACTAAAAGTTTTTAATGGCATAACTACAAAATTTTCAAAATCGCCAAATGATTTTTGCTATCCCTGAATTATTATCATTTTTTTAATCATATGCTGTTTGTAATTGAATTGGTTAATTTTTTTTAAGCAATAGTATTTTTATATATGGCATGTTTAATTAAATTTGATTACTCTTATACTAAATGGTTTATTTGGATAGTTATATTAAAAACAAGTCAACCACCTTATGTGGCCTACAAAAACACAAACACTCAGAAAATAATTATTTCAGTAGTGAAATAGGTTTAACAAATAGTTTGTTAAATAGATAGAAAAAACTTTCTAACAGTAAAGGTTCTTCGAAAATGCAATACCCAAATACTGATATATGCCAAATAAAAGTATCAATAGCTTCAGCTGCTTCTTTATTTATTTATTTTTATTTATTATTTTTACGTAAAAACAGAAGCAAAAGGTACGCAGCCTAAATGGCACATCCCATAGGCTAACCTCAAGGGAGGGTGAGATTTTCTCTGCATCCACACCAATGTAGTGTAATCACATTCAAATTACTAGCAGCATTCCAGAAATTTTCACAAAACCTCTATATAGACCAAACCAATATTCCAACAAGGAACCAAGTACTTTTATACATGGCTTTCCTTTTCCTTTACAGATGAAAATACATGCCTTCAACAACTATCAACACCAAGCAAATATCTCATTCTCAAGCACTGCAACTTAATGACCTAAGAGGGCAAACCTGGAGGGAAAAGGTCCTGTTCTTCTCACCGAGGACCTGAGAGTTCCATTTCTTCAACCACAAGGGAAGATTCTTCTATGAAATCTGAATATCTTTGAGGAGGATTTTCAAATGCACGGTACCTGGGTGTGTCAACCTTTTGTGAGGCCTCCCATTTCTCCGCTAAGCCATCGCCCTCTAACATCCTCAATATTTCGGACATTTTTGGGCGGTGAGAAGGATTAAACTGAGTACATAAAAGAGCAACTTGAACCATTTCTTCTAACTCGACCTTGTCGAAATTGCTCTTTAAATTTTTATCCACCATAAGGTTCAGCTTTCCATCCTGATGGAGCTTCTTTACCTGCACAAATGTTGCACCATTAACAGAAGAAAAAATTAAATAACCAAAAGAAACAAATGCACATTTTGCAGATTATCTGATGAAACAAAAGGTTTTTCTAGATCCAACGTGGTAGGAAGAGAGAGGCTTATGATCTGTGCAGTTAAACCCATCCAAATCCAATGGTACAGAATCAAGCAGCTAAAATACTTCATCTACTTTTTGGAGATAAGAACAGACCTCTAAGAGGAGAAATGAGAAGATGGTGCCAGCAAGCCATGCATGGAAAGCTGGAACCTGAATATAGTGCACTTTACAGGATATATGGCCATAAGCAGAAATAGGCCCAGTTAAGATGATACCAATTTTTTTCTCACTTCACCTCCAAATTAATTCAAGCTTTGCAAAATAAAGACTCGAAGACAAAGAGAGAGGAAATACCCAATCAAGCATTACACCTTTCTGCTTGGCCGCACGTCCAAAATCCAAAGCTTTCTGACCTGTAATTAGCTCAAGGAGCAAGATCCCAAAGCCAAACACATCAGTCTTTTCTGATGATTGACCAGTTGATAAATACTCTGGAGCTATGTGGCCAACAGTGCCACGCACGGCTGTGGTAACGTGAGAATCCCGGTGGTCCAAGAGTTTTGCCAACCCAAAATCTCCAACAATTGCCTCAAAGTCTTCATCCAACAGTATGTTGGCTGCTTTGACATCACGGTGAATAATTTTGGGGTCACACTGCTCGTGCAAATATACTAGCCCCCTTGCCGTTCCTAAAGCTATCCTCTTTCGCCGTGACCAATCTAAAATTGGCCTACCACGAACATGATCTGGTAAGAAAACCCAATAGACGAAATAAATAATTTGTCTTCAGCAGATACCATATCCTGGCAAGGTTTATCACCAACAAAAATGTTATATTTCAACTAAACTTTTGAACAAAAAAGTTTGAAGAGATCAGCTGAAACTCTGCCAGTTTGGCTACTAAGCTAATCTTGGAGTGAATCAAATGACATACAAAGAGAAAAAGGGGTGTTAACACACAAAGTAACCAGCAGACACTATGAGCATGTCTGCACTAACTTATAGCAACCACCTTGAACCTACTTTATAGGTTGTCTACGGCACCTGCCCCAAACCCAGGAAAACAAGACCCTTTCTGACATTGATAGTGAAATCATGGTGATTGGTGAAGGTGTTGTCAGGTATAAATAGTGATGGAAATGGTAATAATAGTGCTTTAGTTGGGTAATACAGCAGCAGAGGAAGTATATACGGAATTGGTTTAATGGTATCTATTTAGTTTGTTAAGTTCCACCACAGAAATTCTTTGCCGTCTTAATCCATAGAAGTTTTATAGTTCAGCCCATCTTCTGAATGTGCAGTTCTGAGAGTGCATTTTTTATTATTTACATTTGAATTTGATTATAAAAATAGGTTAGGAAACACCAGAAATAATTTTAATGGGTATCTGAAGTCATACTTCCTCGAAGCAACTATGAGTCATACAGTCAGTGAGGATTTAAGACATCAAAGTTTAGATGTTGTTAGAAAAGATATAATGCCAAACTCAACAAAGGAGTATAAGATGAACTTGGATAAATATAAGACTCACTGCCAGCCCTGACAAAAGAAGTTTGCTAACCTCTTAATCTTGAGGCTACACTTCCATTTGGCATATATGGATAAACGAGAAGCCGTTCGTTTTCTGACATGCAGAACCCCAAAAGTCTCAGAAGATTCCGATGGACAGCCAAACTTATCATCTCTACTTCTGTCTGAAATTGGATTTCACCGCCAACAGCATTATAGTCCTTCAACCTTTTAACAGCCACCAGAGTGCCATCATTTATGCAACCCTTGTATACAATTCCAAATCCACCGCTTCCTAAAATATTCTTCGAGTTAAAGTGGTCAGTTGCAGTTCGGAGTTCCTTAAAGGTGTACCTTCTTAAATGGCCCAAGCAGACCTCTGGATCATATTGATCTGCTGAGAAACAGATCATAGCTCAGAATTCAGGCCAAATTAGAGGAGTAATGCAGGAATTATATATATAAATCAATACGAATTAAGAACATAAACAAATCAATCATATAATATTTCATTTGCAAAGTCTAAAAAGACCCAAATAGGAGTCTATGTAGCATGTGATGGGATTCAATTGTAATACCCAGTGGGTGGTTAAAGATGGGGCTTATGGTCTTTAGAAGAACTGCATGTTTTAACATTGAAATCGTAATTTGAGATTTAACTGATGAATCCCCACAACGCTGAACAGCATATAAATGACATTTATCATCACTTTCTATTTTTTCCCCTTATCAAAAAGAAAAGAATACCATGATTCTTAAAGGAATCTTCTGAAGAGGCGACGCGGTGGTTTAAGAATCAACTATTTTTTTTTCCTTAGTTGAAGTATCAACTATTATTTCTGCTCATTCTCAATTTCCCTTTATTTTCCAGTTTTTTCTATTTCAAAAATTTTCATTTATTACTACAATCTACCAAAACAGTGTCTAGGATCAGGCCAGCATGGTCTCTTAAAGCTTCCAATTTGTATTGTTTGGACTATGGAGTTATTTGACAAAAAATTCCCAAGGTGAAGAAGCAGGGAAGCACAAGCACACTTTGGGAGCACAGTACAACAGAGAATTGTATGCCATTTAGCAAGAGGATAAATCACTCCCGAACTTTACCTACAAAACCCAATTTTTTTTTGCAAAGTAATACACATGGACACAAGTATATGTATTCTATATATGAATATACATGTGTGAAAATAAACTTCCGAAAAATATATACATATACATGTGTGCATGAATAAGAATTATTGAGTATCTGTGAGCTTGTGAAGTATTTTTTCCATTCATCAATACTTCGATTCAAAGTGGTAATACTAGGTTTCAACCTCATATACTTTCCCTTCATACTTCTTACAGCTCACTTGAGATCAGGAAATCTTATCCTGGTGCTAGTTCGTCACATTTGCTCCAATTTGATTCTTGAACTGAATCACATAGCATACACATCTAGACAGCTAAAGTAATTCTTGCATTTGGCAAACAAGGATGCTCTGCTTCTATCAAACTGAATCAAATAGCATACTCATCTAGACAGCTAAAGTAATTCTTGCATTTGGTAAACAAGGATGCTCTGCTTCTATCAAACTCCATCCCCTTTTTCCATTCCATTTTTCTCTTCTCTTACTTCTCAAACATGGCATTAGGACTCCCTCTATTATAGAGTATGCAACTTAAACATTTATATACTCTACCTCACCCCCTCACGTGTAGCCAGAGCTCAGTCAAGCAAGTGTCAGGGTGACAAGATTTGAACCCGAAACCTTGCCTACACTCAGATGCCACTCTCCTTCCTTTTTCTCCGTTTTTTTTTTTTTTTTTTTGGTCTTCTTTTACCTCTCATAGATGGGCATTGAGACTCCCTGTTGGTTAGTGTGTAATTTGAAGTAAAGTATCTAACACAACCCCTCGCATGTGGCCAGCTTTCGGTCCAACCCGTATGAGATTGACAGTGAGACTCATGACCTCGCCTACAAGGTCCTACTTTTACACCATGTTAACTAAAAGCTTAAGCTGTTATAGAATTTGTAATTTAAGTATTTCTATACTCTCTCTCTCTCTCTCCCTCACACACACACACACACACAACTCTATAAAACAAAGAATTGATTATTAGACAAATTTGAGATCTACAAAGGAACTTCATTTTTACTTTGGTTGTGATTTAGTTTCACAAACTGCAATATTTCGTCAAATTTAATAGCTTCAAGATTAATCCTATTTGAAATACCTCACTAATATAGGAATAGCCTCATCTGAAGCTCGGTACTCTTCCTCTTTCATGCCTGAAAATGACTTAACCTCTATTTCTTTGTATCATCTCTCTTTTATTTTCCACAAATTATCTTCTCGATGGCAAACATGGTACACTTTCTGTATCCCCATCAAAAAGGGAAAAAAGAAATTTCCTGGTCCACATACATCCTTAAATCACAGGATCTGAGTTTCCTTAGATTTCAAATCCCATGATTTACCAAATGGGCAATAGCCCAGCTGGTACAAACCCACCTCCCAAAAGGGGAAGTCAGGGATTCGAGCCTTAGTGGAGGCATGTGTGTGTGAGTTTGCTTAACCTTTTAAAAAAAAAATCCCATTATTTAAGAATTTTTCAACATGAATACAAATCTAGTGACCTCAGAATTGTTTTGAACCACTTGAAAACCAGGTTATGCTTATAAGAATACAGAAGTGCTAAAAAAGGAGCCTTTTGTATTAAAAAATGCAGCTGCCTTTAGATGCAATTCTGTATGATTCAAACCAAAGTCATAAAAATCTATATTAAAGAAACATAACTGCTGAATAATGAAACGAAGATGATATACAGAAAGAACTAACCAGTAACATCAAAGAAAATCTGTTGGTTGTGTCTATATCGCCACCAAACAAGTGACCCAATAAGCATTATGATCACAAAAGCAGCACTGAAGCTTGTGCCAAAAGCAATAGCCACATTGTGGGTTTTAGTCCCAGATTCTGATCCAGCTGGGAAAGCAGTGATTTAATAATAAAGATTTCATAAAAATGTAGCAAACAGAATATTTGGCTGAGTGATAGACACCTCTTACACCATCTGGTGAGAAGGAAAGTGGTTCTGAATACACAACAGAACAATTGCTCCCAGAATTCTGCCCACAGTTTAAAGTGTTGCCTATTATTCTGAAAGCAGAAAGAAGCAGCAATAGAACTTCAATAATAAAAGTATAACAGAGACAAGAAATGGATCAGTATGGAACACAGGAAAGAATGACCAACTTGAAAGCTCTCGCTGATATTTTTGGCAAGGAACCACTGAGATTGTTGAAAGAAAGGTCCCTACAAGCAATTGTAACTTAAAATTGTGAAAACATCTGTGGATGAAATGATTGAGTTTTTAGAAGTATCTTTCTATGCTCTGCATGTTAAAATTGAACTTAAGGTTGAAAAAAGTACAGAGACATACACAAGATTGAGACCTTCAACTTTGGACAGAGATTCGGGAACGGGTCCGGTAAGGTGGTTGTTATTTAGTCGCCTGACTTGCGCAGAAAAAGGAGGGAAAAGAAGGAAAAAGAAAAGCACAGGAGGCAAATTAAAAATCATTATACTCCTAAATGTTAAATAATTCAGGTGAAAGTCAAGGTTGGATGGGAATCTTGAAACTTACAAATATTTCAGGTTCTTGATATTCCCAAGAGAACTAGGAATTGCACCATTGAACTTGTTGCGCGAGAGATCAAGTGTCTGAAGCTTCTCCAACTTCCCAATTGCAGCAGGAATAGGACCAGAAATGGCATTATTCTGCATCAACCTACACAACTAAGAATAACTGAGCTGCTTTTTAATTAGATGACCAAACTGAGATTTCTAGACTAGTCGTGAGACATAATGATATTAAACACCATTGAGAAAATGAAAACAAAAAAATAATAATAAATAAAGGAAAAATGAAATAAAGAAAAATAGCCCATTAAGAGAAACAATAAGTCCAACAATGAAAAACCAGAGAGAATATATCACAACTTACACAGCTTGCAAGTTACTAAGGTTTCCAATCCCTGGAGATAAGGTCCCAGACAAGCTTAGACTAGGCAGTCCGCTGATTGAAAATGAACAACACACCAATAATTAGTAAAAACAGCTAGAAATCGCTCCAACTTCGGTTTTGTTTTTTTTTTATTTTGTTTTTTTTTTAGGTAAATTAGAAATCATTCCAACTTTGATTGAGCATTCTGTACAATTTAAGACCTACATCAGAAACAGGAGAAAAAAACTACTTACAGAGCAGACACGTAGCCATCAGAGTAACAAGTAACCATCGCCCAACTACAAGGATCTACCGAATTAATATCCCAGTTATCTAGAACATTGTAGGGGTCATTTAGATCATTTTTTATAGCCATCAAAGCTACAACTGCATCAGAATTTAGGAAACAAAAGAAGGGTCACTGCATCAGAATGAAAAGGTTCATTTATTTTTATTTTTCCCATCAAACAAGCAGAAAAACAACAGATAAAGAATTCCAACACACGGGTTTGAAGCCACAGTTTCATTAACTTGAACGAGTGATCCATAGTAGCAACTTATAAAATTTATGAGAATGGTAAAAATAAATATTTCAGATGCTCTTGCGAGTCATCCAAAGCATTAACTAGAGAAGAAAAGGAATTCCCTCCCAATCAAAGAATAAATATATAAGAGTTAAATTAAGGGGAAAACAAAAAACAAAAAACAAAAGACAGTAAAAGAGGATAGAGTGTGAAATTTAACCCTCGTCAAGAACCAAGTTTGACACAGAAAATTAGTGAGTAACTAGCCTAAACTGGAATATCTGGCTAATTTAAGTTTAATATACATTTAACAAAAAGATTAAACATAAATGAGAACAAAATTATTCCAAACAGAAACTAACCTTCATAATTTATACCAGAAGGAGAAAGAGTTGAAGAAGAACCCTCCATTAGTGCCAAAAACAGTAATCCCACTACCCAGAACATAAAACACCCTCTTCCCATTCTCTCTTCTCAGTTCAGTAATTTCACTTTCTGTGCACAACCAATGCCCACCCACTTATCACAACCACCAATACTACCAAGCAAAACCATTCCTCACATGAATTTACAACCTCTGTAGTGTCCAGTAAAATGTGTCGCTGACTATCAGAACACCAAAAAGCAAACCCACCCCTTACCTTAATAAGAAGTATACTTTTTCAACGTTATTCCACGAACAAACAGAAAGAAATGCTCTTCACAAAACCCACAAAACTTCAGAAACTCTGGGTCCCAAACTTCACAAAACTAAAGACCCAGATGCTAAAACCTCTGTCGGAGGCAATTGGGCATTGTTTGGGCTGTGAAAAATAACAAAAAGAAGGGTATTTTCTCGAGAAACAAACACACGGCCTGAAATTCTGAAGGAAAAAAAAAAAAAAAAAGGGATCTGAAAATGCTGCCGATCCCCACAAATTGAACGTGCTTATATTGTTGGGAGTAGCCCTCCCATGTTAATCCACTGTGATTCAACCATATCCTCTAGAGATCAAGCACACAGTATCACACATTACCAGAGGTACAATTACAAAAGGCCAAAGCCTCACAGATAAATGAATGCTTCAAGTGAACAATTTTTTTTTTAGAAAATTGCTTCAAGTGAATAATTGTTACTCAAAAGTCGTAGTATTTGAAAAACAAAATTGCTTTTTTGTTGAGTGATTGGATTGAAGGGACGCAAGGGATTGATGAAGAGGGACGTCTGAGGGCGCAAGCTGTAAAGTATGTTTTGGGCAGGGCAGGTCACGGGCTTGGCTTGGCTTGGCTTGTCATCGTCCTCACTGGCGTTTGCCTTTAAACTATTCTCAAAAATTCCTCTTTTTCGTTAAAGATTTTGCAGACATGACCCACCCAACTTGGATATGTTTGGATACTGGTTTAAGTTTTTGTAAATATTTTAATTTTTTTAATACAGTAGCAATTTATAATAACTTCAGTAAGACAAAACAAAACAAGAAATCAAGACTGCACAGATTTACAAAACAAGAATCAAGACCGCACAGATTTACTTTGTTTACCCTATAGTTATAATGAAAGCTTCTTTTTGACGTAAGGTAAAGTATTATTTTTTTTTTTTTAAACTTTTTTATAGTTTAGTAAAGGTTTAGGTTTAAGATTTAATATTTTTTTTTTCATAAATATTTTACAACAATTAAACATCTAAAAATAAAAAAAATATTTTACATTCAAACAAACTAAGCCAAAAAGTAAAAAGATGATACTTGCATTTTGTATTAAGATTTGTGACTACATGCTGATGTGAAATTATCAATATTTTGTTGATTAGTTGTATTTATAATAATTAGTGAATGAGGTGTACAGTCATTAAATGCTTTGTAGCTTAAGTAATACCTCTTCTGTTTTTCACATTAAATGCTTTGTAACTTAAGTAATACCTCTTCTGTTTTTCAAAGTTAATTGAGTTTGAATCCTCAAATGAGAACAAACTCGTACAGACTCCACATTATCCATCATTAATTATATAGTCAAAATTGTTTTAATTGATGCTTATATAATAAAAACACGGATTTATTTGGCTAATAATATAGTTCCTTTTTATTTATTGTTTTTTAAATAAATAAAAAAATTGTCCAAAGGTACTTTTAAGTAACATAAGTAATTTGTAGTAGTACATTTTATATTGAGGATGCCTTCATGTGCACAAACCTAGAACCCCAGAGCCCGAGGGTATTTTTGTCGTTTTGGGAAACGTGAATATTCTCCGGTCTACAACTTCTGCCACTCTATATTTGTTTATTTATAGTAATTCTCAATCTTCCCCGCCAAACTTGGCAGAGAATTCCAATTAACATAGTCCAGATTCACAAATCCAAATACAAAAGCTAAATCCATCCATTTGAAAATGAACAGTGCCTATTATATAATAACAGGGATCAAAATTCCGTTCAATAACAGGAACTGTTCCGGTGGTAAAATTTATCATCATTAATTGTAATTCACGTTATTATAACGGTGTAAAATGCACCGGATTAGGTAGTAACTCACGTCACTGTAAAAATGTAAAATGCACTTCAAAATTCATAATACAGATTATCATTGATGGTAACAAATTTTACCGATTGGATGAGACCTCTCTTTACTCGATTTATAATGATAACATTAAGAGGTAACAAACTACTATATATGATGTCTAATCGGAAATATTGTATGTAGATATTTTTGCCATGTTGAGGACCCACTATGAAGCAGCAGTTTTGAGTAGATGCAATATATAAAGGGCGGGAAATGGATAGGGCGGGCCCAGTAGCCACTGACTGCTATAACATCCACCGATCCCTCTTCTTTGATTGTGAATTTGTGATACATGTGAAATATAAAATGCCAAAACTCAAATAGGCTTCATCTACTTGATTTGGGGAAATGTGCCATCATTATTGCAACTGAACTTGGAATGATGGAGTTTTTTAAATAAAGCTTTCGTCACAATATTTTTTAGAATATCTTGTAAAAGGCACAAAAAAAAAAAAAAATAAAAAATAAAAAATAAAAAATAAAAAATAAAAAATAATCAGATTATAAGAAAATAGTTACAAAATTCTTATTGATAATAAGATAAATTACGACCACACTTCTTCAAATTTGACAAAAAGATATTAAGAGAAAGTTTATCTATTTTTTTGAACAAAGATATCCCTTGAAGTTTTATAAATAAACAAAAGCAACTATTTATATGAGAAATTAACCAAATTACCCTTTGACAGTTTAGGAAACTTTTTTAACTTTACACTTTCATAAATTGAACTAATCTATGCTCATGAATAACAATCAGAAAATAACTAAACTTTATTAAATACAACTTTCATTACAAGAGAATTTATCACCAAACTTGAATACAATAAGAAGCAACTTCTTTTGGTTCGTTTACATTTTTTAGTCATACCGAAAAAACCATCTTATTAGAGCACTTATGCTAAACAAAAACAGCATAAAACTTGCAAATTCTAGTTATAAATTATTTCATTCTTATTAGTTTTTTTTGTGTTAAAAGGAGACCAATTGAAAAAAATTCACCAATTTTATAAAAATTATATGGCCCTACCTACATTTTACGTAAAATTTCAGTGTACAAATCTACCAAAAAAAAAACAGCTGTTAGCTTGAATGTTATCACTTCTCACCCCAAAAGGGACAGGTCCAAGGTCAGATCCTGATCAGCGTGCATGTGTGTGAATTTATAGGAAAACCCAAAAATAATAATGGTAATAAATAATTAATTAAATAAAAAATTATGACCAAGAAATATGGAGAAGTTCCATATATTCTTTTATGCAACCTTTTTTTCTTTTACCAAACAGCGGCACAACAATACAAAATAACCATTCAAATTCAAGGGGCGTCCAAATACACCATGAGTAGATTGGGGTTTCCACCTTCTTGTAATGAAAGTTGTATTTAATAAATTGTTCACGAGGTAAATTGGTCTAATTTATTAAAAAGTAAAATTAAAAAAGTTTCTTAAACGGTCAAAAAGGTAATTTGGTCAATTTCTCATGTAAATGGGTGTCTTTGTCTATTTATGAACCTTTAAAGGGTATCTTTGTCCAAAAATCAAGTAAGTTTTCTCTAAGTGTTTTTTTTCCAAACCTCAGGAGTATTGTTGTACTTTACCCTTGATAATTTTTGTGATTGGACGTACTAATATTTGTACTTCATATCTCTCCACTTGCAATTTATTTGAATTTTGTTAATAGATGAAATGACAAGATTAGCCCCACAATAGTAGGTGTGTGAAAATTTAAGTCGCCACTTTCGCTCACTTTTTCACTGTTTATGATTTAATTTTGTTACTTTTAAGTTTTCTTTCATGCTTTATGTGACTTATTAGGTTAAAACAAAGGAGGTGAGGAATTCCAGCTTTTATTATTATTATTATTATTTATTTATTTTTTTTCGTCGTCGTCTTGGCAAACTAGAGAGAGGGACTCGAGCACATCCATTCAATGAATTAGGCACTCTATGAACTAGGCTACCTTTCAAGCTCTGTAACATGCTATTTGTAAAATGTATGTGTGCTTTTTTTTGTAACTCTCCCAAAATTTGTAAAAACTAAAATAAATAAGCCCAAGGCCATAAACCCAAATCTCGTAACCTAAAATTTGGTTTTTGCTCTAGTGGTCTTTCTATCAAAATATCGTCACACTTTTTCTATAATTTGATTGTGATAATCTTTATTTAATTTGGGCATGGAAGTTTTCCCCTTTAAATTTCACATATTTTACCATTTGTCCCATTATAAAAGTAAGTTTAGAAGTGTTGCAGGCAATGTTCTCAGTATAAACAATGACAATGTCAACTATGGTGGTACTTTTACTATCACGCTTAAGAATATCAGAATACTAATTTCATTCCCAGTGAAAATTATGGATGTCCCATTTATAATAAAGTAAAAAAATACAATGAAACGTCCCAACTCATTTTCAGGGTACAATAACTAACACTTAATTGAACACATGAAATTTTCCATGGAAACAGAATGGAAATTGATATGGAGAGTTGATAGATTTATGCAGCTGCGGTAATGCATTCAATCGCCTGCTTGCAGATGCCAGTCATCGTCGCCTCGGGTCCATAAACCTGCAAGAAAACATGGTTTCAATGAGAATTGTTTGGAGTTCTTTCAGTGCTAACATGGTGAGGAGATTTTCTACAACAGATATGAAGAGTTGTTTAAAACCATAAAGGAAAAGCTTTTCAGGTTTCAGGTAACTATTATTAGTGTACCTCAATAGGAATGCCAATTTCCTCCCCAAGTGTCCGCATTTTCGCGAGACCTCTTTGGTAATTCGGACCTCCTCTCCTTACATATAGGTGCATCCTTGCAGCTTTAAGCTTCGATTCCTGTTTATAGAACAACAAATTCAGTAAAATTGCTTATAGCAAATGATGAAGTTTAGAACAAGTATAGTCCATATAGATATGAGCTAACCTTCTCCTTCAATGCTCTAATAATGCCATTAAATGTAGCAGCAACATCAGTAAAGTTGGCAATCCCGCCTCCTATTACAAGGGCTCTCTTACGACCATCAGGATCTGCAGTCGCACACTGTAGAGAATTCAGAGATTATTTGTAAAGCAACAAGCAAAAATACCAAAAGCTGAGTGATCATTTAATAATTGTGAAGGAATAGGTACAATGAAGGAAACTTAAAATTAATTTGGCTTAATTTTATAAAACATCATGTGCCATCTTCTTTATACTTGCCAATAATAAAAAGTAAAAAATGTGTCATTTTTTATGTGATGTTACTTGAGTTGGGAGTTAAGAATAGTACTTACATCAATTACGACTCTGGCGTACTGCAAGACCTCCTCTTCATTGGGTGCTCCACTATATTCGGCATAGTTTCCAAGCTCAGAAGCATAGCCAAGATCTCCAACCTGAACGGGCACAACATTTATTATTAGCATCTAGTAAGCCAAAGCCATGATGGAGAGAGAGAGAGGAAAAGAAACAGGGTTCTAAGTCCATAGAAACCCTGTGTTTAAAGGACGAGAATCACACCGTATCTGCATAGATCACACTAGCACCTCCTCCTGCTACCATAGTCCAAATTCGTCCCTTCGGGTTCAAAACTGTGAATTTCAAAGACGCACTGGTCTGCAAATGAATAATAACTTCAAAATATCAATAAGATCCTCATAGATGAAGATAGTCACAACAATACATGATTTTGTAAGCCGTCACAAGATTGAATGTCCCCCACCCCACACACGCATCCACAAATGAGAGAGAGGCGGAGAGAGAGGCACACAGACAGACAGATTCTAAAACCAAGATCTTTGGGTTTCAAAGGGAGTAAGACACAACACTGGATAACAGCCTGACAGTTCCAAAAGAGTTAGAAACGGAGAATATTTTCTTAATAGTTATGAAAAGGATTTCAATTTTAGTTGGCTTACGTTTTTCTTGAAGCCAGTTTATTAGTGGGTGAAAACAGATTTCAAATATCTAATTGATCAATATGTACCTTCTCATCTAGCCCATGGATAAAGCTTTCTGTAGCACTCATAACTCTTCCAAACGGCATTGGGAATTCAATATTGCCCCACCTGCAGGAACAAAGCTCGTCAGAGTAGAGTAGAATAAGTTGAAGTGATTTCATCAAATTGCTTGATTTTTGCTTTAAAAGCAATAAAGATAAAGTGACAATCACTAAAAATTGGAATTTACTTCTTGAAGTTCTTGAAAGCGGCAGTGTCATCAAGTTCGCCTCTCATATCCAAAGGATAAGGCTTTCCATCAACCAATGTAAAAGGATTCATCTCTAGGAAAGTGAAGTCCAGATCTAACATATGAAAAGGTTTACAAGTTAGAAAAATTGCATGTTATTAAAGTAGTCTTAACAACTTTAAAAGAGAGAAGATTTGCTGAAGGTGCTTAGTATACCTAAAAATAGAACAAAAATCACTTTAATGAACTCCTCAATCACACCTTTGAACTGAATCACAGAGCAACATCATGTCAGCTATATAAATCAGTATCACCAGTGAAAAAGAAAATCAAGGAACAGGAAGATAGCCACTGGAATTAATATCGCACTAAAATTACCTCCAAGGGAAGGGTTGCAACAAGTGGAGCACATATCTCTGACGTAAAGGAAATCCCTGTTGGGACAAATATTGTCTTGACCTAAACAAAGAAGAACTACCTTCTATAAATTTTGGATTGACAAAATAAATATTATAAGAGAGGAAATTAGTCCATCTAGATTTACAAAAGGCTTTGCATTATCTTGAAGAAATAAACATAAAAATGCAATGTCACAAGTACCTTGTCCCAGTTCTCTTCAATATCAATCCCTCCACACTCAGAAAAGCTTATGCTACACCCAAGACGATCTGAAACAATATTAAGATAAAACTCTTCATTGTGTGGGATGAAGGGTTCTACAATGAATGTTGTTATTGGTCCTTTGCATCCCCCCATCTCTACCTGTCAACCCAAAGAGAAGAACGTAAGCAAAAGAATCTGTTTCTCTCAAAGAAGGAGATTCTACTTGAAGAACATATGAAAAAACACATAATATTCAAATTTGCTGAAACACTAAGATAAGTGATATGATGGAAATTTCCAATTACCTCTTTGCCAAGTCGCTCCTTCACAAAACCAGCAACTTGAGCCAAATCTAAATTTAAGGCAACCAGACCACTCTTCCCACGTTTCCCAAACAACATATCGGGTTTCACAACCAGTTTCCCTGATGAGAGCCATGGCTCCTTTTCTACCAGTGCATTGAAATCGGTTGACTCAATAACCTGTGCCTCAAAAAAATATATAAATGACACAGCATGAGAAACTAAATCTCATACCCTGCTTATATTGTAGAAAATTCTGTTTTAGAAACTTCTCACTTTCATAATCTATACAACAAATTTGAAAGATTAGAATAAAAAATAATAAGATGATACTCCCAATAATAATTCAAGTTCCAATGTGTTCACAACGCCATACTGGATCAAAATTTCAGACCACTATATATATCAATTGCTATTTCTTTCTTCTTCTTGGTCCAACAGTGTGGACTACAACATTTGCAGAAGAAATAAATGTGGGCTACAGAACAAGGGGTAGTCCTCTCCCTACCCATGAACCCCTCGCCCCATGTCCCTCTACCAGAACTTGAACGTTGCACCTTCTCTGAGGAGCAAGAGATACAAACTGAGTAGAACAGTTGGTGGTAGTGACAACTGCTAACTCTTGGTTCAGGGCCTTTAGGGCCCTGGTTTCTTTAGCAACCTTTTTATCCATGAAACTATAGAAAAATATATAATGACGGTTCTAAAAGTAGGGTGTTTGAAAGATTTATTTTATCATTGTGTATTAGGCCTTTTTTTTCGAATTTTTTTAGCAACATATATGTAATTCAACATGGATCTGTTATATATTCCATTCATCACAAGTCATGCTGCAGGTTAAAGTGGTTCAACTGTTTCATCCAGGAACGGTAGCTCAGTCCCATTTCTCTGCTGATTTCTTACTGATCAAAATGTCTTTTGCAAGAGCAAATTAGTTTCAGCAGGTGCATAATAGCATATTTGTTCAAATCTCTATCACAACAGAACTAATAATGCAAATTAGAAGTATAATTCAACAATACTCAAGAAAATATTTTGGAAATTCCAAATTAAATAGACTGGCCTACCTAACCATGAATTCTATCGATCATAATTCATTAATCTCTCTATCGAGAATAAGACTATCTTAATCTTAAGGCATCACATTAAAGTTCTATGTCTTCCCTAATGATTTCAAACTTGCTATTAATTTTTTTAAAAAAATAAGTAAATCATTAATCATAATTTACATTGCGGGTAGTCAGAAATGGGGACAGTTTTTGCAAATTGCAGAAAAAAATAATACTCCGTAATCACACATTCTCTATGAATTATGAACCAAAGAAAAAATTCCATACCACACCACAAATGGTGAAATGGGATTCACATAACTAACTCAACACAAAGTAGGTGGAACAGAAAGCTTTTATTGTTAGTTGAAGCTAAAAGTGCTCTAACAATAAATTTTCAACTAGATTACTATCAAAATGAAGAACCCTTTAAGCAGAATCGAACCCAATTCCAAAAGCTTAGAAACATTGACAGATTTCGAACTCAATAAACGTAAAAATGAGATTAAAAATCTAAGAAATTGAACTCACTTGTGCAGATTTGATGGCCAATTCATTACCAGAGAGTCTCTTGTAGTGCTCCTTCAACAACCTCTTGGAATCATACTCTCTGATCTTCTTACGTGCCATTTCTTATCACCTGTTTTCACAAAATTACAAATCATCAAAGACTTGAACTCTGATCTCAGATCTACAAACACAGATCAATGGATCACATTACCACAGACCTACTATATTATAAATAAATGAACAACAGAGATGGATACATGGAGATCATAGCTTGGGAATCACATAGGAAACTGAAAAAATTAAAATTAAAATTAAAATTAAAATTACCGTTGATTGAGAGGCAAGCAGGCTTGGAGAGAGAGAGAGAGAGAGAGATTCAACGCTAAACTGAAACCTTCCGACTTTGCTTGCTCTATATATGGTAGAAAATTTCGGGTTTTTATTGTTTATTTAATACCTAATAAATTATAAAATGGGTTGGTTGATTTCAGAGGCCAAAACATGTGCGTGACTGTGTGTATATATACAAACATATATATATATATATAAACATATAATTATAGATACGAATTTATGCATGTCCCGGGAAGTTGTCAACCTATGGGTATGGACATATGCGGCACGCCGGCACCTACCGAGGTCCCACGACCACCAATCGGTAAACACACACACACACACAATAATATTAGATATTTCGTTCTCTCAGTGCTCCTGGTCCAAAAAGTAGGAACTAAAGTTGCACACCTTGTTAGGTTGACTCCTTTCTAATCAGTTTGGCTTTCGCAAAACTTGTTTTGATTAACTTCAATTATACTTTTCTTGAAATTTTAGTAAATTCCTCAACAACCATCAATTTTGAGTATGTATACAGTAATCATATGCTGTGATGATAATTGAAAAACAAAACCTTATTTTAAGAAAATAACTTGTGAAATTTTTATAATTTAATAGAAGTTTTATATCAAGGGCTTTAGCTCAGTACCATCTCCTCTATCTTTAAAATAAATGATGAAAATTGAAATTTATGTAAGGGCAAATAAATGAGTGAATTTTGTACTGGAAATAATAAAATATATATATATATATGGTTTATAGAGACAATGATACTCCTAAAATACAAATAGCTAAATGTTACGAGGCGAGATTTGTCTCACATCAGATTTGGACGAGAAAGTGATCGGGTATAAATGGGTAGGTATGCAGTATTACCCAATAGTTTAAGATTTTTAGTAAATGGGTAAGTGTCCACCCGTTACAGTTAGTATTAGAGACAGACATAATCCTTGATCCGATGCTACGCCAAGCATCCGGGTGATTCACCTGGGTAAGTAGGGTGGCCAACCACAATGAGGGTGGCCAACCACAATGAGGGTGTTGCGAGTTCAAATAGGAGAGAATGTTACGGATAGAAAATATATATGCTTCAAATGGTATTTATAATATAACTAACCCTATACTAATATACCATAAGATATTTGTAATATGCTAAAAATAATTAATTAAATATTCAACTAGATATTTAATTAAACATACAAATTAAAGTAATAAAATAATAATAATAATAATAATAATTAAATAAAGAACCTGGACCGAGGTTAGTATTGGATAATATGTCCTTAAGACAGATTCACCCCGCTATGGTGCTAACGGACTCAATGGCGTTTATCTCCCAAGATACAACGGTCTACATCCACCAGTAGCAGCACTACAAACTCGTGGATACAGCGAACCTCCTCCGTGTAATACTCTCTCTGGCTAAAAAATGCATCTATACTATATTTATGCTAAATTGGATGCAATCCGAACCAAATGATTCGGACCAATCTTAATATGGTTTGATGAAATTGGATTAGGATTTAAGTGGCTCGGACCACTTAACTTGTGGTTTGAACTCACTTGGGTTGGGTTCAAGTCTAGAGAGAGAGAGAGAAGAAATTAAATTGAACCATTTACAAATGGCACCCAATGGGGTATTTATAGAAATAAAAGTGTCTTTTTGGACTTGGTGTGTTTCTTCATCATTGGACACAACCATTTATATGTGTTTCTTCATCACTAGACACAACCATTTAAATTGGTTGCAATAGTTCACATGGTGTCTGTTCACCACTCGACACATTTATTCCAACAAGTTACAATGGTTCACATGGTTTCTATTGGTTTTGAGTTGTATCTTTTCATTCTACAACCAACCATTGATCACACTTGTTCAGTCAAAGACATCTATTAATGACTAATCACACAATTTTCATTCACAATTTCTAACAATTACAAGAAAAGATTTGTCTCAAATTGAATCCAGATGTGAAAGTGATTAAATATAAATGGGTGAGTTTGAATAAAACCCATTACACTATGCCACCCCAAAACTGCCTTAACCTACAAACAAGTCTGACAAGTTGGTTGTGTGAGTCATAAGATTATACTCTACTTGAATTTTTATTTTTATTTTTGGTCAAATTAACTAGATGTGTCGAATTAGGGTGTGTTTAGTAACGTTTTCGTTTTCTGTTTTTACAGTCTTAAGAAAGCAGAAACATGATTTTGCTTTCTTGAATGAAAATAAAAAACAGAAATGATGTTTATTAGCACTTGTTGTTACCACAAATTTGAAAATATAAAACAATAACTATATTTAGTAATACAACATATTTGTTACAAAATGTACATAATATTCTTTAAATTTTTTATTTTATTCATGGCAAGAATTTTAAGAGTTAGTGATTAAAGGGGAGGATGAGGGGAAGGGTAGATGACTTGAACACGAACTCTCAGACACATGGAGTAACCCAACCACTCAGACACGACACTTGCTTTCATTAATATCAAAAAATCATAAATCTAGAAAATCTAATTTAAAATTATAAATCTTAAAAATACCCCATACATTGTAAATATAAAATTAGATATATCAAGACAAAAACATTTCCACTAATTATGTATATAAATACATATATATGCATGATGTATACATTTATTATGTGATATTTAGAATATGTTCATTTATTATGAATAAAAAATATCAAATAATATATCTTATATGTAATAAAATATATATATTGTGTTAAAATATTGTAAATTAATTATAATTTAATATTTACATATAATATAATATAGATATGATATATAATAATATAAAATATCTACTGCTTAATCATTTAATAACATTATATTCTATATCAGAAATTATTTTGTCAGAAAAAATAATTACATTATTATTTAATATATTATATATTAAAATATATTTTTATCAAATAAAAAATAATATACAATATTTAATATAAACTATATTAAAAATAAATATTTTTATTAACATTTGATATGCAACTTAGTATATAACGCAAATAATATGAATTTTATTTGAAATAAATAGTGTTTGTGCAGTAACATTAGTGAAGACGTTTCTGCACTACAGTGCCGAAAACATAAGAAATATCATTTTGATGTTTTCTCTTTTCTTCATAAAAATTGAAAATGTTTTCTGTTATATAAAACCAAAAACATTTTATTAAACACGATTTTTGTTTTCGTTTTGACTTTTTAGAGGTTGATAATAGAAAATAAGAAACATTTCTCGTTACTAAACGCAGCCTGAATTCCATGAATTTAACGTTTTAACTAACATGTCACTTGGTGCTGCAGAAATGCGTGAAATGTCTTCTAAAAGTCAACCACTCTATGAAACTTTACAGATGTGGATTTATAACTTTAATTTCGCCAAATTATTTGTATATTGTACAAATAACATCATAACAGTGACTGAAAAAATCTTAAAAAATTAAAAATTATGTGAAGCATAAAAGGTAAAGGGCGAGTATATAATGAAGTGGAATTTTTTTTTTCTTTTTTAAATTAACACTTTTGAGTACGAAAAATTAATGCATGAATTACATTAGTATGTTGCTCATATTTAAACCATATATCATAAAAGAATAATATCGGTTTAAAAAAATAAAATAAAAGAATAGTATCAAAATGCCAGTCAAAGTAATGCGTTGACCCAGCTGAGAGTCAATACTGTACACCTCTCTCTCTCTCTCTCTCTCGCTCTCTCTCTGTGACTTGGTTTTACAAGTTATTCGATTCACATTAATGAATTCAAGTGTAATAGTACTCGTATAAGATATTATAGTAGGGCATTTGTTGAATTGTTGGTAATCAGTGTTGACTTTAGTGAATGTGGCATTATTAAGAAGAGTTGAATATTTTAAATTTTGAATCAATCAACATCTCTGCAATCTGTAGCACCCTAATTCGAGATGGTGGGTAGATATTAATTAATTTAATAATAAAATGACATTTTGGTAGCACACTAAAAAGAACCATGATATTTTTCTTCCCTATAACTATACACACACACAAATATATATATATATATATATATATATATATATATATATATATTAATTAATTTAATAGTAAAATGACATTTTGGTAGCACACTAAAAAGAACCATGATATTTTTCTTCCCTATAACTATACACACACACAAATATATATATATATATATATATATAAACAATCCTTTTATACAGTATGATTTATAAAAAAATTTGTGCACGAGATGATCATAAAACCTCTATAATGTTTGATAAGAACAACTGTGGTTCGTGAATGCCTTGATTTGAAAACTGAAGAAAGGAAAAAATATTGATGGTGTAAAACGTGGGACATATTATTAGTCTGTGTTTGGCTGCTGTGTATTTTTTAATCTGGCGCAGACAGTTTCCAATATTGACTTCTTGTCTTGAGCAGATAGCATAATGCAATTGTTAAATTTTGTTTCATGTACTCATATTCACTGTTTCTTATGTTGCCTCTTAGCATGGATGATGGCAAAAAAAATATGGGAATGCAGCCATTTCTGCCTACATAATTCAACCAAACACCACCCACGATTATTGTGACGCCAAACTATTACAACATGGTTTAAGTACTGCAAAATTCATATAACTGACCTACAAAATGAGTGGAAAAAGAAAAAAAAAATTACTATAATTTATAATTTCAATTGATTCTGCATCATTGCTCTTACATTGATCATCTACTCACATAAATTTACATTTTATAGTTCCCATATCTACCCCACTGATTTGCTGAGCTTTAGATTAGAATTGAACTTGATCTATGGCACATAATTTGGTGAAATCAGGAGCCAATACATTGCAAACTAACTGGAAGACCAACTGCAGATATTCATTCACCTTTCATTCTCACTCAGCCGTGTTGCTATCAAATCCACAGCTAATGATCCTGGAGAAGCTGCAGAATCATCAATATAATCATCATCATCATCATCATCATCATCATCATCACTATAGGTCTCATCTTCACCATAATCCTCACTGTAAGGACCGTTTTCGTACTCTGACCTTGAACTACCAGAACCATCTTCGCTTGACAAAACAAAAGCTGGATAGGAGTGCTCCGTGGCCTGTGACATGCCCTCAAATACCTCCACTTTCTCCAATAGAGCATCAGGACCAAGGTTGATCTCATCCAGCAACAATGCCTTGCTTGACTCAATTGCACATGTCCACAAGGACATCATTTTGGGGCTTGAACTCACTGTTTTAGTGTCCGGTTTTTGAAAATCAGCATTTTGGTTTCCTACATTCAAAAGAAAATGGAGAACATCATTGCGAAATCAAAACCAAATTTTATAGTAAGATTCTTTAGCTCACAGTACAATCAAGAACAGTTTGAAACATGAGCATAACTGCTAAGTTTCATCACAGAAATATTAGTCCTTCACGAAGTACAAAGGATTGAGATGTATTTTAAAAATATGGTGCATTTTGAACCAATCTCAAGGGAAAATGGTTGCCACTGGATCACTAGTAATGAGTCATCTGGGGCAAACATTTTTGTAACTACTTTTGCATACTTTTGATCTAAAAGCTCAGTCGATTTTTTCTGTTTGACCCTTCCCTTCTTTAATTTTCTCCATTTACAATGTTCAGATTTGAAAGCCAGGAAATGAAGGGAGGAAGAAAACATTGTTTGCCACAAACACACACACACAACTCGTTTCCAGGTATCTATTGAGGAAGATAAATAGCTGAGGTGAAATCTTAGTTATTCAGTAATGCAATTTCTAGAAAACTGCTTCGGTAGTGATATCTTAGAAAGAACCAAGGGTTCCACGAGATCCAAAGAAGTTTGATACATTGACTGCAACAGGTCTATTGATTTTTTCTTTACCATGCTGTCTAATATGAAACTGACCACTTCTTTACCCGATCCACCTTCCCCCCAAGAAAAGGAAACACGGAAAAAAAATTAGGGAAAAGGTGGAGCAGATGCATTGTGCCTAGTTTCATTGCACTCTAACCTCTAAATTCATGCATACCTGAGCAATTGACACCATTACCAGCATCACTATCACCACGAAAAGCTGGAGGAGCTTCTTGATACATTGATTTCCAATCTTGTCCTCTCCACATCAATATCTGTTCCTCATCAAAAGACAATAGCACGCAAGGGACTAATTCCTGTCGAGAGATGAAGATCGATTCAAGAAATAGTAAAACAATAGAAACCAAGCATCGTGTCCATTGTTACTTGGGGACAGTAACACAAGAAAAAATAATAATAACAAAGAGCATAACCAATCAATAGTCTATATGTTACTCTATAAATGTACAATGAACTGTATCTAAGCTGCTCTACCGAGTACTATGGGCATAAATATATTTTTCAGACATCTTTGGGGTTATAGACCAATCGATTGTTAAGATATTGTAATGACCACAATTCCCTCTAGGGCTGTAAGTTACAAAAGGGAAAATACAATTACAGAAGAGAGCCTCTGTCATGTAAAGAGACATTCCAATAGGAGGGCCAAAATTCATATTTGAGCTAAACATAGGCCCATGGGAAGGTCAATTAGCTAAATGCGCCCAAGACAAGATAATGGGTTGCATTGCCATATTGCAACTTGGCCAGGTTGTACAAGCTTTCAAATTTTTGTAATTTGATGATTTATATAGCGTTGAGTGATTCATTCTTCAACCTGATTATTTAGTTCTTCTATTTCACAAAAATATATTGTTATTAATGGTTTACAAATAGTCATGTGAAGATTCACGTGATTATGTACAAAATCAAGCAACGGTAGATATTTTTAATAAGATAATAGAACCGAGAATATACACGAACCTTCAACTTAGCACCTATTTTTTTGTAATCACTCGCATGCATCCCCTTGCAGTCGATCTTCACTAATGGACTTCCTTCAAAGGCATGCCTCACATCTCTCACTAAGAAAACATACACACCATTTTTTGCTGTGGCAGGACAAAGTAAACAAGTGGTACATATTCCAAAAGAAGTTAAGTCCAAAATGGAAACCTCAACAGAAGTAAGAGAAGTTAAACTGATACATAAAAATATTCTCAGGAAAAGTGAGCATATATTAGTAAAGTATCCACTTGAAAATATATACACACACATACACATATATATCAGGAAGCATTCATATGCATGCAAATATAAAATTCATTAACATGCAACAAAATGTAGCATTTGATATATAAATTCAAGAATAAAGAATGGGATGAAACATGATTAAAACCAGGAGCTCTAAGCCATCACTGAAACCAATGTAACAAGCTACCACTAATGATAAACTATTAAAGCCATTCAAATAATGCCAAAAAGACCAACGGGCTAGTGGCCTAGTGTAACAGGTGGGCACTTGCCCATTTACCCAAAAGCTCAAGCTTTTGGATAGTGCTGCATACCCACCCATTTATACCCAATCACTTTCCCATCCGGATCCGATGTGGAACAAATGACCCTTGTTACACCTAGCGTATCAGGCCATTACTTTCCAAAGGAAGGTCAAGAGTTCAAGCCTCCATGGAAGCATGTGTGTGTGAGTACCAAACTAAGATAATAATAATAATAATAATAATAATAATAATGCCAAAAAGTAAGTGGAGTTCAAATATACAATTTGGATAGGCAACTTTTTGTAGACATAAAAAGGGAAGGTAAAAAGAAATATTTGTGGTGTTTAACCAAAGAATTTCCATCAAAAGTACAACTTATTCCAAAGTGTTGAAGAATTGTCAGCTATACTACATCTCACAAGGAGATTTCTGAAAGGTAGGCAATCTGTTTAGACATAATTTTGAGAAGAGGTGGCAGGATTCAAGGGATCATTGTGTTCCACAACACAGTTGTTTCTGCCCAAATCACTTTTACTATCATCATGCATCACCTGGATTGATCATATTAGCCTTCCAAATTACCACCAAAAATAAATAAATAAATCACAAGCAAACTTATTGCAATCAAACAACAAAATGCAACCTTAAGCCACCTCAATTACTTTATCACTTTTTTTTAATATACATGCTCCACTAGGTTCTGTGTTTATAAGCATTAAGCATCAATTTAGTTACTTGCCTCACGTTTGTGTTTCTAACTCCATGACTAGAAAGAACAAGATGATCAAATTCTGTGTGTGTGTGTGTGAGAGAGAGAGAGAGAGAGAGCATTAAGCATCAATTTAGTTACTTGCCTCACATTTGTGTTTCTATCAAGAGAGAATAAGATGCTTTGAGAAAACCTTGTGACAAGCAGATAAATTATAAGGAGGACATTGGTGGTTTACCTAATTTACAAATTGGAAGAAGATTTTCCCCTTTCTTCCGTAACTCATCAGCTTCAGCTTTTGTCAACCCTTCTGGAGCTTCTTGTATAAGTTTGGGATAAACTGGTGTAGCCGGTTTCCAGAGCATCACAGGTAACTGCGGACGAGTGCGATGATCATAGTTTCTGCCACGGAAAAGATAAACCACGCCACCAAGCCGACGAATGACCTTTCCACCAGTCTTTTCCTGGCATTACGAACACACTTGAGTCAGTGGCTAACTAGCTTTGAAGAGTTTCATGTAGCATAGATAGTCTAGGAACTGTACTATATAAATTTAGTCTGATGATCAACATAAAATGTGCATCACAGATTTGACACTTCATAAGGGGAACAACAGACGGTTAGTATGGTATAACATATACAATACATACAGAAACATATGCATATATAAGTGCAAGATGTTAAGAAAACTATATAATGTAGGGGGAAAAGCCCTCTTAAAGAACTACTACGTCTGTAGAATAACTTCCATTAGGTTAATTTTCAATGGAAACTGGCATGTAACTCTTCATGCCAGAAAATGTATTTAAAACAACTTCAATCGTAATTCTAAAGTTCAACAGAGGCTGTTTCCTGCAATTGTGGTCATTCCATGGGCCAAATACATCGTACAGTTGTGCCTTCAAACAATTACTATAATGATACATAATACATGTGCTTTTTCTTGCACTAGACAGAGGTGGAAACACCTTGCCCTTGATATCGTTATGATGACACAGATGAAGACAAATACTTCTAGAAAGATTATCCTAATGATTAAGTTTCAGCTCCCTAGTGCAGAGCTAAGTCAGCTTGTTCAAAGAGGTTAAGAGAATGAACTTCATTGAGAGTCTGAAGCAACAAAGAGAATGTTATGGAAAAGGAAAACCCATAGTAGGAGTAGACTGGAAAAAATTGCCCTAGATTATATCAATCATGTACAATTGCTAATACAGTATTGTCTAGAAGATCGAAATTGTGTCAGATTTTGAGTAGTTACCACCCACAGACCGGTTGCATGCATGTAGTATTACACAAACTTACCTAACAACATATTTTAAATATGCCCATGACATTCATATCAACATGCCTATCACGACATTCATATCAACATGCCTATCACACATACAAAAACACACATAAGTGATAATAATAGGATTGTAAGAACCACATCAATTGCATTGTATCAGCTGTGTATACTCTTCTACCAAAACTAAAAGATTATATCATAAATTATTTGGTTCTTGATCCATTCCTTGGTACTCAATTTAAATAAAAGAAAAAAAAAATGTTCTAGCAGATATTTTATATGGCTGATCAAAGTCCACAAACAATGAAATTTAGAAACTCAAACTTGATGCTACTTTAAGTGAATGTTAATGTCTGGCCAAAAAGGTATAATCATGATAAAATATGCAAACCCAATTTTTTTTCGTTAAAACAAATATTATAATTTCAATAATCTAGAACATTCATGAACCATTAACACATTGAATACTGAAATGACATTTACAGTTCAAAGGAATTTGATATAAAGTGGAGAGTTAACACCTCAAGACAACGGCAAACATTCTCCATATCTACAGTGGGAACGCCCAAGCATCGAACTTTACATATGGGTTGCCTCCTCCAATGTGAATGTACCAATTCTAACATGTTATGTGTCAATCCATCCCTACCTGCATTATTCAATTAAGATATATTATGCATATATAACAGTGCATAGTTTGCAGAGGTTGTGACCTTAGATAGACCTCAAATAATTGGGAAAAAACTTGAACTTTGCATAACAAACAAAGAAAGCCAAAATTCAAACTCAACAAAGCTTACCCAGATTGACCTGGCGATTACTAGACAAGTAAGGCTTAATAAGCACTCTAATCTCTGCTCGTGTTAATGGCCTACCAAGCACCTCATTCCTCGGTTTCACCTCCGCCGGAAACTTCCCGAGTTGAAACGGCCTCAGCATTTCCAAACGCTTCACTCCACTAGTCCCCAATGGCGGGGAGTCGGAGGAATCGAACAGATGAATCTTCTTATTAGACTTCTTCATCGGCGCCTTCCCCGTCCACGGCCTTGGCATCGTGGGTGGCGCAAAGGGCAAGAACGCCGGCTCCCGGATTCCGAGTGGCTTGGCCTTGGGAGTCTCGGAGTAGCTGAATTGGAACTCGAATGGAGCTCCGGGGAGGAGGTAGGAGACGCCGGATTCGCCGACGATGACGGAGCGGTCACCGTCGGCCGAGATGACTCCGTCTTTGACGGGTTTGTAGTAATTTGTACGGCGGTGGAGGGTTTTGAAGGCGGGGTTGGAGTGGGGTTTTGCAGGGCGGTTTGGGGACTTTTTGGATTTGAGGGGTGGTGGGTATTTGGGGATTGGGATGGGTGGTGGTGGACGGTGGGAGGTGGGTATGGGGTCGTTTGGAGGAGGGGTTGAAGGGAGGTTGGAGAAGAGGTTGGGACCTTGTATTGTTGCTAGAATCGCCATTGAACAAGCTCTCACTTTTTGTGCATATGTATGTATTATATATATATGAATCGTGTGTTTGGGCAGTGATGCAGAAAGTTTTTCTGGTTTTTCTGTTGGGAAAATGAAGATGGTGAGATGGATTGGGGAAAGATATTGTTCTCAGTTTGCAGTCTGTATTAGGCTTTCAAACGTCACCGTTTTAAGAACAAGAAGAAAAAACGTCGTCGTTTTCTCATCCCTCATAAATTGGCTCATTAGTATAAGGTTTGATTTTGTTTAATTTAGTTCCAATTTTTATGGAACCACGGGAACTTGTGTAATGCAAAATCTAAAAAGGTCCAATCTTAAATGTACCCCTATTCTAGAGGCCTTAGTTTAAATTTTCCAACTAGACTTCGATTATTTAAGTTTGGCGGATTAAACATGAATCGGTTGGGTTAGATTGTTAGTGGATTATGTAATAATTTTTAATAATTACATAATAGTACTAAAATCAGGTTACATAATAATACTAAAATCTGGTTTGGTTTGGATTGAACTCATCATATTATACAACTTTGTGTTAAAAGCAACCTCAATTAAAACAGGGTTAAATTTTTTTTAATCTAAATTTAACTCTAGTTAGAAAATTATTCAAGCACGTCTAAGAGTGTATCTGCATCAAATGAATAGGGAAGAAAAAAATAATAATAATAAAATAAAGAAAATAAACTAAAAAATGATACCTTAAATCATGTTTAATTTGAAACTGAGAAAGAAAAAGAAAGGAAAAATAAAAATAAATGATAATTAAACCAATTTTCATTGTCAAACAGATTTTCTTTGTCCACAAAATAAAATAAATAAAATATTTAATCCATACTGATCAACAATTTAATTTTTTCATCAATATGTGCGATTCTATAAATCACCAAACACTTACTACATCAATATCAACCCTCCTAAGTATACATTACCATAAACCCTCGTAAAACCTAGACCCAACCTACTATATAAACTTATCAATAACCCTCGCAAAACTCTAGACCCAATCTAATATTATATAAACTTATTTTATTTTCGAATTTAAACATTTTGATACTTTTAAATCATCGTTTAATTAGTTTTATCTTGCATTCCTTCCTATCCCCACTGATTTTTGTTTCACTGTGCGTTATCACTCCAAGGCATGTCCTTATAGATTTTTGTTGACTTTTTTTTTTATTATTTTTTTTTAAAATGTTGTTTGTAATTATATTTATATATATATATATATATATATATATATATATATCTATTAGGATAACTTCCACTCACACTCTCCAGGTGCAACTTAAACACTATTTGGACAATGATACCCCCTATTTTTGGTAAAGTTAACAAAGGCACCCTAAACCCATATAAATTGACATTACCAAAAATAAGGGGTGTCATTGTTCTAATAGTTTCTAAGTTGTGTAGATGGTTGTCTCTAACTCAAACTTGAGGGAATGTGAGTGCAATTTACCCCTATTATATTTTTGGAAGCCTATAGAATGATAAAATGAGTGAGAATCATTTTTAGATTTTAAGCATGCGCATAAATTTATAATATGCATTATGTGATATTCTATTATAATTTAATTTATAATTTAAAATTTAAAATTAATAAATTATACTTACACATTTACAATATATATAGATATAGTTTATCAAGAAATAATGGAAAAAGAGATCAAACTTTTATTTATTTCTAGATAAACATAGTTTATTATTTGTATTACAAATTTTTTTATTCATTTTATGAGTTATCAATTAATTATATTTATATTATTTATTTATTTTATGATTATAGTGATAGTGTCAATTTGCACAAAATGAAAATTTATTTTATTATTTGTAACATTTTCGTATTTATTTTAGTATTTGTTACATCTTTTTAATGTCTTAACATATACATATATATACAATGATATGTATATAACCGAATTTTTTATCCCAAAATGTTAATCCATACAACGTATTATACATGTACTTATCTACATTCGAATTTTTATATTTTTGTTTTTTCAGTTGAATTTTTATATCATATATATTTTTTTAAAAATTGAATTATACTTGTTTCCGAATCCCTTGTTTTGGTACCGTATTTTACTAAGGGTAAATTCCACCAACTTTGCCAGAAGCTGCTCTTTTATGGAAGCTTTGTTGGGGTCTAATCCGTCCTGGGCGTGGTGTAGCATTTGGTCAAATAAGCTTATTATCAAAAAAAGGTTGCGCTGGATTATGGGTAATGGGGAATCCGTCAATATTTGGAATGATTGGTGGGTATCATCTTTGCCGACGCTGCCTTGTCCACAAAATGATGGTACGTTTCAGAAAGTGGTGGACCTAATTCATGTTAAATCTCACTCATGGAATCTCCCTCTGTTTAATCAACTTTTTTTCTGCTGATGTGGTGGATGCCATTAGGCGTGTCCTAATTAGTGTGTGCGGTCTTAAAGATCGGTAAAACTGGGCTTTCACGGAATCTAATTTTTTCTCAGTCAAATCGGCTTATCAAGTAGCCTGGTCTCTGAATGTTTTGCAACCAGACAGGAGGTCGGTTGTGTTGAAGAGCTGGAACCTTTTATGGAAATGTCATTGTCTTCCCAAAATTAAACACTTTTTATGGCAATGTATCCATGGGGTGATTCCAACCAACGTTGCCTTAAAAAGTAGAGGTTTAGCTATAGATGATTGTTGTTGGGTTTGTAGGGATGGTCCTGAAACAGTGGAGCATTTGCTTTTCCGGTGGCGGGTATCTATTCAAGTGTGGAAGTTTCTCCCCTTCGAATTGATTGTCTGTCGGAATATTTTCACTCTGTTGCCGAATGGTGGATGCATGGATGTGTGTAAGCGCGGTCATGAGGCTAGCAGTATGGCAGTTTTTTTAGCGTAGGCAATCTAGAAAGCTAGGAATAGGCTGGTTTTCGAGGCGACTCCTCTTGCCCTCAACATATTGTTCAAGTGGCCATTAAAGCTTTTTGGGAGTTTTGGGAGACAGACTTGAATTCTCTGGATGTTGTAGAGATTCGTCCTTCAAAGTTTCTGTCCTCCTCTAGGGTATGGAGGTGTAATACTCCTAATTTTAAAAGGACAGGCTCAGTATTTTATTAATTATTTTATTGTATTTTTATTTGCTTATTTGCTTATTTGCTGATTTGTTTAATTATTTTTATTTATTTGAATTAATTGTTTAATTGTTTTGTTTATTTGAATTAATTGTTTAATTGTTTATATAATTGAATTAATTGGTTAATTGTTTTATTTAATTGATTATTTGATTTATTTATTTTTTTACATTTATGCTTAGGTGGACTTAGTTTAAATATGAATTAAATGTATTATATAATTCTAGGGTTTTATATTCTTCACGGGTTAGCCGACTTGTGTTTTCTTTTCTTTTCATTCCCTAAGTGTACTTAGAATTAGGTTACCCTAAGTTGGCCTATAAATACATCATTAGTGGTCTGCCAAGGGTTTAAAACCCTGTTCCCGTAACAGTGGAGGCAGAGAGAAAAAGCAGTGAGGTTTGAGAGAACAGAGAGAACCAGTAGGGTTTCGGCTATAGATCAAAGGACGGACCAAGGAGGAGGGAAGGTATTGCTTGTGGATTTAAACCAGAATAGTAGGAGGTTGACAGTGAACGGAAGTCATCGAAAAACTTAAGAAGACGACGTTAAGGTTTAAAAACTGAAATCTTCCAGGCAAGTTTTATTCTGACTCTCTCCCCTTGACTTATGTTCTGTGCATGCCTAGATGATCTCTATGATTTTAATCGGACATTAAATTAATCTAGTATGCTTATTAAATCAGAATTAATTTGTATATGTGTTGTAAATTTAATCTGTTTATTCGTATCAATTATTTTCTCATATGTGTTCTAAAATTCTGTTAATGATGTATACTGGAGTTTATATGTTTTTTGAGTAATTTTGGGACATAAATTGAACCCTAGGAACTGTATTAGACATTACAGCGGGTTCTGCAACGTCGTCGGAGGCAAATGAGACAACTAGATCAGTTTACGGCTCTGTGTGGAAGAGAGAACTGGCTCTCCATAAGGGAGAACCAGCTCCATGAGGGGGAGAGCCGGCTCCCTCTTTAGGAAAGTCAGCTCTCTTGTTTAAATACACCAGTAGGTGTATTTTTGGTGGTTTTTGGAACTTTAGGGGCTGAAGTGGAATTTTGGGTTTTAAAGGGGGGTTTTAAATGATTTAAATCAATTTGTTAAAATCCTAAAACAGATAGTATATGCTACTATACTAATATTACTGGACATCATGAAATTTAATTATTTATTTGCATGCTGTCAGTGGATGTGGAATATTTACTTACTTGTTGTTGTTCTAGCAAGTTAATTGGATTTGTATGATTATACCTATGTATAATTGAATATAATATGTTCAGTTGGTTATCTGATTTATATTATATCATTCCCTGAATTTTAATTGACGCTCTATTGATTACTACTTTGTCAATTATTAAAGTGTCTGGTGAATTAGTTGAAGTTTAAATTAAATTATTTAAATTGGCAATTACATGGATGTTATTCTGGATGTTAATTGATGAACCATTAAATTATATTCTGTCAATTACATGGATGTTATTGATTGTATGCACCGGTATGGGACAGTGGCATACTAGGGATGGTTTAGCTCAAAATGCTAAGTCCTACCTACTCTGGAATAAGGGAATGGATTATAAAATTAAATCCTACTTATATTTAAGTCAGATCAACTGAGTAAGTTGAGTAACTAACTGGATTATTTGTTATTTGTGTTTAAGTCAGATCAACTGAATAAGTTGAGTGACTAACTGGATTAGTTGTTACTTATGTCAGATCAATGAACAATTAAATGACATACTCTGGTTTTGGATGAATTTTAAATATATGACTGTAGTACCACAATTTGAGCTTAAGTCTCAGAATCGATGGTTAGGAAGCGTATATGCATTGGTATGCATAGCTGGCTATGATGGTTGAGGTGTACCCTGTTAGGTCTAGGTACTCATGCCCACATCTTGTGCGTTTTGTATGTTGTCTTCTAGTCAGGTTGAGACCCCCTTTGTAGTCCAGTGAGAATCCTTTAGTGTGGATATATATGTGTATGGACTAGATAGATATTGTTGAGTTATCTATGATGTATCTGCGTATCGGGTCTCTGTTTGGATTGTAGTTAGAATATAACTTGTTTCGTGGACCTGACCCACTATCATTTTTCAGGTATCGGACGGTTCCAGTCTTAGAACTTGTCCGGGCTGAGCAGAGACAGTCATTCACTCTTCCGACGACGTATGATTTCCTTTCATGTTTTAGTTTTGGATTTTATTTCCGTACTTTACTTTTTATTAGGATTTTATTAGGGGTCTACTAGATGGATTCCCGAGTTGTACGTATTGAAGGTTTTGGGAAGTTTGGATTATATTAGTCTATAACTTTTGAGGTTTTTATATTTAGAATTCTTTCAGCTTTATTATTTATTCATTAAATTCTTTTGTATTCTGTGTTCATTTAAATATTAATTGTTTGGTATTCCCTTGAGTTTGGGCTTGGGCCTGATCAACCCATATCTCGGAGTTGAGGGGTATCACATGAGGCCTCCAGATCCAAGTGTGGTTAAGTGTAATTTAGATGCGGTTTTTAAGGCAATTGATGGGAGCGCTGGAGGTGGCCTTGTGTTTAGAAACCATGACGGAGTTGTGTTGAGTGTGGGTATGCTCCTGATTTTTCATGCTTCTTCAGCCCTCTGAGCCAAAGCATTTGTCTTGCGAGAGGCAATTTTCTGGGCTCGGCGTTTGAATTTGCACAATTTGTGTTTTGAAAGTGATTGTCTTGTTTTATGTGAAGTAGTTTTAGGTGGGAGGGGGTGTCCTGTTGAGATTTCAGCTTTATGTTTTTTGATATGAAGAAGCTTATGGAGCAGTTTCATATGGTGCAGCTGGCGCATGTTTGAAGGGAAGCAAATTCTGTTGCTCATCATGCAGCTAAGTTTTCTTGTGGCCATGAAGCGCAGGTCATCTATGGTCTGTCTGCCTAGTTGCGGGATTTTGTAGTTGTAGATGTTTTCTCTTGTTTGATGTAGTTATTGGTTCATGTTTTGTGGTAGTTTGTTTTGCTTGCCTTGAAAAAAAAAATCCACTAACTTTCCCTCGCAAATTGTATACAGAAAGAGCGTTTGAGTTTTATTACTTTGACATTCCTTAAAAATATGAAATATTTTTCATATCCTTATCTAATCTAATAATAATAATAATAAATTTCAAACCAAAAGACTCTGTTACCCTTTTGTTTTTTTGTTTTTTCTCTTTTTTAAAAATTTAATAAGATATCAACAGGCCAGTGGTCTGGCGGTATCGGCTTCTTACTTCCCAAATGGATGTCATATGTTCAAGTCTCAGAAGAGACATGTGTGTGTGAGTACCAACTAAGGAAAAAAAAATTAATAATATAAAATTTAATATTTTGTATTTTAATGACATTTTTATCATGTAAAAATATAAAGTTATTGAGTCTTTTAACACAAGTTAAGGAATAGTCATTTTTAAATTTTCATTAACAGTAGAAGGTGTCATTTAGCATATACGCCAAATCTCAGGGGGATCAAAGTAATAAAAGTCAAACATTCTATATGTGTAATTTATCCAAAATTCAGAGAGGTCAAAGTAATAAAGGTCGAAGTTCAATTGTGTGTAATTTTGCCTAGCCTGAGACATGTCAATGTAATTTATGCTCCAACACTATCAGTTTTTTGATTAAATACCTCCAACCTATTTTAGAAAACCCCAAACGCTATGAAAATTGATCACATTGCACTAATTATATGATTAAATGACAAAACTAACCTAAAAAGGAAAAATATGTATTTTGCCAATTACAAAAATAGGTTTGGTGACATTTAAATCAACACAGCACAAAACGACCGCGTTTTTGTGTGTGCATATATATATATATATATATATATATATATATTGGCACTAAACACAGTCGTTTTTATCAAACCCATTTTGCCCTAAACAATTCAAACTACACTTGGCTTACGCATCATTTCCATTTCCATAAATCCTGTGTGTTTGGATAGTATTAGTGAAAAAAGAAAAGAAAAGAAAAAAAAAGGATAGTAATAATTTCTATTTGTGTTTGAATAGACAGGGGAGAAAAGAAAAGAAGTGATAGTTATTTTTGTTTGGATAAGATAGAGGAGAGAAAAGAAAAGAAAGGATAATAGACAAATTACTTTTTTACCCTTTCATAACCATGGGACTTGAATGGAATAATAAATCTGTGTATTGATTTATGGAGGCTAATTTTGGTATTATCAAAATACCACTAAAATCACTATCCTTTCTCTCACTATCTCTCCCTATCTTCTCAATTTTTGAGGAGAAAGCAAATAAGAGATAAAGAGGGATAGCTATACCTCTTTATCTCTCCTTATCCCTCCCTATCCCTCCACTTAAATTACCCAAACACAAACTTACACTATCCTCTCTTTTTATTTTCGCTCCCTATCCCTTCAAATCAACCCTACCAAACACACCCTAAAGATTCTCTTCGCGTCGCTGGAATAAATTCACTACAAACCTCGCTGTATATAGTGTATATACAGCTGAATATATATATCTATATATAGATCATCGCCGGAATTATGGACAACAAGGAGAGAATTGATCCAACGACCGAGTTCTCAGCCGATGCGAACTAGACACTCTCGAACAGCGTTTAGTTCTTTGGAAGCCATACGGATGGCTGCGTACTTTGCGAATTCCAATGGAATCTTCAGCCGCAGATGGCTGTGGATCGGAACGGTGTCGACGATATGCCCAATTTGGCAAGAAATCAACTGTTTTTGCCGGAGAGAGGTGCGGCTCAGTGTACTGCTGCTTCGGCGGCTTAAGACCTTCCGACCGGCCGGCAATGCTTCGGCCTCGAATCCGTCGGCGTGACATGCCAGTCCGGCATCATCACCGAGCTCCGCCTCCTTGGCATGGGGCTTTCCGACCAAATTCCACCACACACAATTGGAAATCTGACCCACCTCCACACACTCATCCTCCGCTTCACCGCCCTCTCCGGCCCACTCCCAAACGACCTCGCTTCCATTTCCGGCCTAACAGCGAAACCTCCTCATCTTTCTAAGGATGTTAAGGACCGCTTCGAATGAGCCAAACGAGCAATTAATTCTAACGCCGATCGACGATATCGCCGACGGAGGAGAATTGCTGATCTAAAATTGAGAATTTTATCCAAGTCATGAACTGTGACTAGTCTTTGGGCCTGAAAATCAATTCTACTTCGTGCTCCGGGCATGGCAGCAATGATGACGGCTCTGAAATTTTGTAATACAAGCCTTCAATTGAAGACCAAATGGGGAAGAGCTAGGTTTCAATAAGCTTGGTTGGGTAGGTTTTAAGACCAAATGATAGCTTTGAAATTTTGTGATACAAGCCTTCAATTGGCCGCTAATGGTTGTGGGTTGGGAATAGTGGTGGCAGTTACGAAGATGGGGATTGTGGTGCTGCGGCGGTCACCGATAGTGGCGCTGTAATCGCCAGATGTAATAGAGACGGAGAAAAGAAATAAAAAATATATAAAATGTGTTAACTTGAATATATATATATATATATAGGTAAATTTCACAAAACAACTGCGTTTGGAGATTACTTATGTCACTAAGGTTATTTTTGTAATTTGTAAAATATTAATTTGTGTTTTTAAAAATAAATTAATATATCAAAAAGTTAATTCCGTTCTTTTAATCAATTGTAATTGTAATAATGTGATCAAATTTAATAGTGTTGAGAATTTTTTTAAAATAAGTTGAGGGCATTTGATTAAAATAATGATAGTGTCGGAGGTTTTGTGAAATTTGCTCTTTATCCTTTTACTCACTATGATTGCATCAGCATCTTACACAAACCCTAGACCCAACACCTACTATATAAACTCTCTTATTCTCAATCGATGCGCTCCCCACAAACCCTACCTTCGATTTCCCTAAAATCGGCGATTCTGAACAAAACCAGCAAAAATGCAGATCTTCGTGAAAACCCTAACGGGTAAGACGATCACCCTTGAGGTGGAGTCCTCGGACACCATCGACAACGTGAAGGCCAAGATTCAAGACAAAGAGGGCATTCCACCGGATCAGCAGCGCCTCATATTCGCCGGAAAACAGCTCGAGGACGGCCGAACCCTAGCGGACTACAACATCCAGAAGGAGTCGACCCTCCACCTTGTGCTTCGCCTCAGGGGTGGTGCAAAGAAGAGGAAGAAGAAGACCTACACCAAACCCAAGAAGATCAAGCACAAGAAGAAGAAGGTCAAGCTCGCCGTGTTGCAGTTCTACAAGGTGGATGACACCGGGAAGGTCCAGAGGCTCAGGAAGGAGTGTCCCAACGCCGAGTGCGGTGCTGGAACGTTCATGGCCAACCATTTCGATCGGCACTACTGTGGAAAGTGTGGCTTGACCTACGTTTATCAGAAGGCTGGTGGTGATTAGAGTCTCTTGCTTGAGTCAATTTTATGCTTATGAATTGCTAGTTAACTTTTTTTGTTTAAGTACTAAAGGTTCTTGAATTGTGTTTCAATTTGGATTTCAATGCCTGAATTTGAATTACTTTAGCTGCTTATATGAGTTTTTATTTGCAATATTGATCTGGGTTTTGATAAATGATAATATATTTATGCTGGTTTTATCTAGTTCTGAATTTTTCTTTATGAGCATATAGAAGTTGCACGGTTTCTGATGCTAGATTATTGTTCGATAGATCAATCCAAAATTTGATATATGATGGTGTGATAATATATGTGTATGTGTCTTAGTGTTAGTTTTCTAGCTTTGATTTGTACCTTAAATTTATGGCTTTTCATTCTTCTGCCTTTGTGTTTTGTTTTCATTTTACTTTTCTTCTAATTGTTAACACGTTGAAGATAATCATGAATTTGATACATTTTAGCTATATCTTACAATAACCACCATACATGAAAGCTTAGTTGGCATGACCTTGAGTTTTTGTTTTCAACTCCTGGCACCATTGAAACCTGGTGGAAGGAATTAGTCCCTCCTCCCCTCCCCGAGGAGGGGGAACACCTTCCATTATACATATACATGTCTGTGTGCGCGTATATGTATAACTTATTGCCAGATTATACTTTTGCATTGATCTTGTTTTTCTAATGTTGGGATCTCCACCCTATTTTTAGCTGTTAGAATCTTCATTTTGATGCTACTTGCATTTTCATTATGTGTGCTCCTTCGTAATGTTTGAGAAGGGGCCTGATCCCCCCCTTTTGTCTAATCTTATGGACAGACTCCAATTGCTTCATGACTGTCCCCAACACTCTGTTCATCCTTTCGAATTTCCTAACTTTTGAAACCATCCATCTGGAAAGTTATGCTCATGGCAATGTAGTTGTTATAGGCAATTTCTGTAGTCCAAGGAAGCAGGACTCTGTGAGTGGATCAAAGTTGGCATTTCCTGTGCCATTGTTTCTTCTCTTTCTATGCAATTGAGGAATGAAATAGGAGTAAAAGAGATAACTCCAGCCGTTTAGTCTCCTATAGTTGTTCAATTCTGTCATTAGCAAAATTTCTATCATTCTCATAGTTGCATGAAATTCTTACAAACAACATAAATAAATAAATGAAAACTCTTTTGTTTTTTTTTTTTTTTTTTTTTTTTTTTTTTTTTAATCAAACTCGACCATAGAGTTGTGTGACTAGATACAGTGCGAAGTGTGAACCAAGCTTGACGGTGACATTTATAATTTTCTATAAATTTTGATAGTAGCATATTCTAACAATTCAGTTAAAGACACTCCTTTTACACTCCAAAGAAAGAGTGGTTATTGTTATTCTGTTGAAAGCAGCCATATATATATGGGAAATGGTAGGCCACCACCATTTATGCTAGTTATAAAAAGTAAAAGGCATGGAATTAGAACAGAATTTCAATTTTGAAGTTCACTGGATTCATGCATATGCCTCCTCCCATCCTTCCCCTCTCTTCCTGTACCTCTTACCAATGAAAGCATTGCTCCTCTCTTCCTTTACTCTCAACAAACGTTGGCTAAAAGTTATTGGTGACATGGAATGAGCAATGTGTGGACTGGGCATGTTATCCATGGGGAATGAAGTTCTTTGTTGAGATATGGATTCTAAGATTAGACAAGTTCTTCATCATAATTCTACTGCCATCTTGAATTAAACTGTGAAATGCCTTCATACTTGTAATGTTTAACAACTATGGATGCTAGCATCCAGCTTTTGTGGCATTGTCAAACTTCAAATGTTGTTACAAACTGGTATCAGAGTCCTTCATGATTATAGTAAAATTTATGTTTTGGGTAGGGGTAGGGCCGGCAAATTACGACACGAGTTAAAAAGATTTGGGTCGTAAAAGGGTCGACACGATTAACCCATTTACTTGACTGTGTCGGGTTAGGGTTGAGGGCTTCAACTTGTGTAATACGTTTCTGACCCACTTAACTCAACATGTTATAATCGTGAGTATGTAATATGTTACCTATTTAAATTCAATTACTATGGATAGTTAAGTCATTTTAACATAAAACTTATTTATGCCTTATGATTTTTTTTTTTTTGAATATTTGGGTTAATTATTACAATTTTTTTCTATTATTTAGTATTTAATAAAATATTAAATGTTTCGTTTTGATAAACAGGTCATTAAACGGGTTAACACGTGTACCTGTTTAATAAACGGGTTGCGTTAGTGTTAATGTTTAATAAATGGGTTGGGTTAGTGTTGAGAATTCTTGACACGATCATTAAATGGGATTGGTTTGGGTTTACCTATTTAGTATAATACCCTTAGAGCAACTTTAATGCTCTCTCATTTGGGCCTCTCAAACTCAAAATATGAGAGTTGGGTAAAAAAATGCCTCTCCAATGGGCTCTCAAATTTCCTTTCACATATAGCAGGTGTTAATTTTTTTTGGCAAGTCTCTCATTTCCCAATATGATGCCGTTTCTCTTATTTATGATGCCGTTTCTCTTATTTATCTGTGGAATCACAATCTGAAATCATCACCCATTCGCATCTCTCTCTCCTTATCTGTTGCAATATAGAGAGAAAAGTTTCGGGAAAATCATCCGATATGAACCAAGGAAGAAAATCGATGACGAAAAGAGGGTTGCTGATGGACCTCGATCTCGATCTTGACGGTTCCTGGCCGTTGGAACAGATCTTCATCTCCTCAAATCTCTTGCGAAGTTGGCTTGACTTTGGTTTTTCTTTGTTGATGTTGTAGTTTGCAGTTGCACAGGGGGGTTATAATTTTTTTTTTTTTTTTGGGTTCTTTTTTTATTAGATATTTTAGATATTTGTTTTTTTTTAACTAGGTTTAATTTTAGTTGCCTTCTAATGTTTACAACTTGACTTGGAATGTGCTTAATATTAATATTACTCATGCAAATATGAATGGTGGGAATGGTAGTTGAAAAAGAATGGTGGTTGTATAAAAAAAATAGCATTTTGCATGAAATGCATTATTAGAGCAGAATTGGTAAAATGTAGTATTTTGACACGAATCATTGACACGACAAGAACAAGACCCACGAACACGAATTGCCACCCCTAGGTAGGGGTGACCACAGATCTGTAATGGTGAAATTAATTGGATTAAGCTATTTTACGAATCGGATTGGAGATTATTATTTTTAACCATGGCGTAATAGATAGATCAATTTTTGACTCTCAAAATTAGTAGGTTGGTGTTTAGGGTTAAAATTTAGTAAAACTTGGAATGATAAAAGAATAATTAAAAAATAAAAATAGTGTATATATATATAGATTTGAACCGATTGGATTGGATTGAATCGGTTAACTGATTAGATCGGTTTTTTAAGATCCCAGTGGAAAATAATCCGACCCGCACATATTGGATCAAATGACACATCAAATGTGTATGCCCCGGTTCGGCCCACTATATTATATATGGTTAGGTTCTTAATTTCTTTACCAATATATAAAAATTTGTATATTCTAAAATTATATTATTATTTTCTAAATTTCTCTTTAATTTTCCTTTATTTTCCTTTTTCTCTCTATAAATTCATTTAATTCCTAATAAAAAGTAATTTTTTTTTTGCTTGAATCATGCTCTAATTCTTTTTATTTTTAAAGTTATATAAGTATTTCCTTTTTTTACTTCTACTACCTAAAATTCTTCTTTTTATTTTTATTTTTTTTTGCATTGTGCCCTCTTGAATTGAGATCGTGGCTCCACCCTTAAGTGAAACACCTTGGGGAGTGTTGTATCCTCTCTAGATATGCAATGGCAGTAGTCTCGGGCGTTGAACTAGTTATTTTTAAATTTATTTCATATCAACAAAGGATCAAAGGATCATCTTATACCAATGAAATAAGTAGCGACGGTAAATGAGCGGATTTTAATCAATTTCTCTGCATCGTTTGGGTTCACCGACCTCTCTCATCTTCATCAACCATTTTCAACTTGATATTTAGTAGTTCTCATGCAATACAACCCCAATATACTACCATTACAGTGTGATATTGACAGGGCTATAATAAAATAAGAATGGTTGCTAAGCTTTCTTTGAACTTTCATCATTAGTCTCTCTCTCTCTCAAGTCAAATCTGATGAACTGTATCTGCTTGCACTTTGCATTTTCAAATACACGTTTCTACCAAGAATATTACTATTCTGTAGCTTAACCCATCAATTGATTGATCTTGACCCGATTGTGTTATGTGCACATGGCCATTTTCAGACTCGATCCTAACCCAACGAGACCATCATCAGTCTTGAAGTGAAAAGGCTTTGAAGTTATGGACAACACGAAAGATAAGCTCAATTTCCTCTCCAATGAATATATTATATTGTTGTGTAAGAACATATAATTTTGGGTGTAACGTGGGGTCATTACTCGTCGTTAGATTGCAAATGGTGATAACTACGAAGCATGAACTGGATTATTCCGTGTATGTGTGTGTATATACATACATATATATATAATGATAATGATAATGATTTGACCTAATCTGAAAGGTCTGTCTTATTAAACTTTGTGATTCACATATTCCTCCCGTATTCAGCGAGCGGTGGTTCGTCGTTTGCTCAGCCGACCACTTTACCACCCTACTTTGTTGTCTATATTTGCCCTTTTTCTTCCTATTTTTTGACAAACTTTTGCTCAATATGCTGAGTCGGTCACAAATGTATAATTGTATATATCAGCTCCAGGTCAATGGATTTGGTTGTGGAGTAATATATGTGGTCAATGGATTTGGTTGTGGAGTAATATGTGTGTGTGTGGGTGGGGACCAACAATGCAATCAGGGTCCATGAATGCTACCACCTATATTCTAGCATTTGTGTATGAAGGAAAATAAAAATAAACCGAATTTCTTTCATTGGGTATAGATGATACAAGAAAATAAATAACAATATTGTAGATGAGTCATTATTTTTTCTTCATAAATTTTTATTAGTTTAAATATGGGCGAAGATAGGAGAGAAGACAAGTGAAATTTTAAATTACTAGATCATTCATCTGTCGAAATATGGGCAGAGATAGGAAAGAAGACAAATGAAATTTTAAATTACTATATCATTCTTTATAAATATTTAATAAATTTCATAAATAAAATAAATGATGGGTTTAATGGTAAAAATAACTTAAAAATCTATTTTCCTTTTAACTTACCGATTAAAGTGAATTGTCAATTGTTAGTTTCATGATTTCATTTCTTCTATTCCATCCAACCAAATAAAAAGAGAAAATAGCTTAATCTATTTTTTAGGATACCAAGTTCATCCATTATTTTCTCCCTTACATCAAATTTTCTTTCTTCCTAAGCATAGATATTCAATCTAAAATATAACTTAATTTTTTTTTAAGCTAAATACCTAAGTCACACAATCCTTCTCAACATGTATCGTTCTCATGCTCCGAGCGCTCTCTCGCTTTCATACTTTATGCGCACTCTCACTCACATAATCTGTGCACGCTCTCGTTCAAATTGTCATTACTTATGACTTAATTTTATTGCTCTTACGCTTATGCTTTTGAATTCGCTCCCACTCTTACTCCGGCTTTATGTGACTTAGCTAAATACTGTAATTTTGAAATTGAATTAAAGATGGGTTACATATAATTCTTCTCTAGAATATGTCTAGTTTTAGTATATTAGTATAAGCCTTCAAACTAATTGAGTTTAGCCTGATATTCAATTCGAATTCAGTTTAGCGAATTACCATTTATTTGGATTTGTTTTTTTTCATTGGCTAGAAACTCTCAAACTTAAGCTGTTTCTTGATTTATTCATTAATTATGTTCATAAGATGTACTCAGAATCAACCATACATCTAAACTGAATAGATAGAGGAGCTTTTCTTTTCTATAAAGATTTATTTGGTTGATTTCTCAAGTGAAAATATATACTGTAAAAAGAACAAAGAAAAGGTGGACAAATTAGCCAACTAATAATAATAATAATAATAAATAAATAAATAATGAAAGTGCATGTGTGTGTATATAAGGTAAATTAATAACTAAGGCACAGAACCGTATAATGATTGATGGTGCTTAGGGATTGGGGCGGGTTGGGCGAGTTTCTTATTCCCCATCTCCGTTTAAATTTTACACCCCCAAAACTGTCCCATAACCAATTATTTTTTTACCCCTAATCTTCTTAACCGCCCCTGCCCCTGATTAAATTTGAGGGTTTTTTTTTGGATTCTTAGACGATTAAATCAAATTGTGAAAATAAAACTCAACTATGAAAAGGTAGAACTTGTTACTTCAATATATATATATGAAGAGAGAGAATATGGTGAAGGACTGAAGGAGGTCGCATAATGGTGTTGATTCGCTTCATTGCTTGGCTAAGGCTTTGGAGATCTGCGGCCGGAGAAGAAGAGAGAGAAGATCTGAAGCCGTAGAGCTTCATCGCATCACTCACAGCTTCGTTCTCAGGCTCTCATCTCTCGGCTGCCGCTTTAGAAGATAGGAATGAGTAGGGTTTATTCAGAAGTGTATATATAATATAATATGATATATATATACACACACACACATATAATATGTTAAAAATAACATGACAAGATTAATAGGAATAATTCTATATGTAATCAGGGCAGAGTATCCCTTCCCTGTCCGTCCCAAATTCGGCCAGTTTTTCTTTCTAACCTCATTCCCACCGATTTAAATAAACGATAGAGAACCCGCTTTAAACGAGACGGTTCCCAACGAATTGGGGTAAATTACCATTATTTAATACTTAAAAGCTACGCCAACCATATACAACATAGAGGCATATTACTCATACCGTACGTATACTTGCAGTTATATGGTTATAAAAAGAGAGATTGAAAGTTGAAACGTTCATCACTCTCAGTAGCAACCACAATTAAATGTATGGCAACGGTCATGACATCAAAAAAAAGGAATTGAACACTTATTTGTTACTTTTTGGAAATAACATAACGTAAAATCAATTATTATTCATAAAAGTAGAAAAACCAGACAAACAACACGCATGTAATTTGTGTTTCGATGCCAAATAACACCAAACGCTTTATCACCATTTACACGTGATTTTCTTTACATCACCTAATATTGGTTCAAAACAGTCCGGTTCCGGATATGTATTATAAGTTATAACGTAAAACTAAACTCTATTGTATTCGTAACGCTCTGGATATATAAGAGAAAAAAAAGAAAATGATAATATTAGTTACTAGAAAAGAATGAAAATAATAATAATAATTTAGATTCATGTTTGGATAGATAAGAGATAAAAGAAAAAATAATAATAATAATAATATTTTTGTCTAGATAAGATAGAGGTAGAGAGAAAACACAAGAAAAGATAACACCTAAATTATTATTGTACCCTTTTAAAAATATGCACTTGAAAGGAATAACAATTTTCTCATTCTAATTGTTGAGGGCAGTTTCAAAATTCTAAAAATATTACCTAAAGATTATTTTTTCATTTTTAGAAAGATAAGATATGAGGATTAATAATATCCTTCCTATCCTTTCCATTTTACCATTTTAATTAATCCAAACACAATTAACCTTGTCATTTCCCTCACTATCCTGCAAATCCCTCAATTCAAAAGAATACTAAGAATTTCGTGAATTCAATCCATAACTTCGGCTAAATAAATGCAAAGTAGTACAAAGGTAAAGGATTAGCCCTTTGCATGAGGTTCTCAACATTATGAAGTCCAGCAAATTTACGCCAACTTAAATGGTCAAGTGCAATGTAGGGGAAGGAGGACTATCTTTTAAGTTAAATATTGTATAAGTTATTTAAGTTGAATTAGAATTGACACGTGACATTTAAAATTTATCTACTGTTGATGTTAATTACGTCAACTAATTTAAAAAAAGTTTGAAAATTACACCGTTTTGAGATAAGAAATTTTTTTCAAAGTTTAAAAACTGCACTCTTTTAAATTAAGAAAAATTCACATACTCTAACGACGTTTAACATTGTTATCTCTCCCTTATCTTTTTCCAAAAAAAAATCCTCCATCTCTCTCCTTTTTATTCCTATCTTACATCAGTCGCGATTGTTTTTGTTTCTCTTTTAACCCGACCGACGTTCTCTCTCATCTTTTCTATATATGGCTCTCTCTTATCTTTTCTATATGTAAGGCTTTTGGTTGTATTTTCCCAACTCTATCAATACGACAATATCATGCTTATATATATATATATATATATATATATATATTCTTTTCCAACTAATACTATTGCCAGTAAAAGTGGTCTTGCAATCACATTTTCGTCCATCTTAATTCCATGGCAAAGAACATTTATTTTTGGCGTGAAATATTTCCCAATCGTGGAAATAAGCAAAGAGAGAGAGAGGGATGATCTTTTTTTTGGAAAAGATAAGAGATAGATAACGACGAGTATGGTGAATTTTTCTTAATTCAAAATGTTGCGATTTAAATCTTGATAAATTTTTCTTATCTCAAAACGGTGCAGTTTTCAAACTTTCATTAAATTAGTTGACGTGATTTAATACCGTACAATAGATTTTAAATGTCACGTGTCAATTGGTAGCGAAATCAATTAAGGATAACTCAAAAAATAATTATGTGAAATTATGTGATGTCTAATTGAATTTTCCTAATAAAATACGGAGTAGTACATTTTAGGAAGAGAAATTATGTGATGGACTAATTGTATTTTCCTAATAAAACAAATGTTTGTTGGTTGGAAATGGAGAAAACAGGAAGGTAGTAAAAGATAAGAGTGGGGGACACATATATAGATATACGTGTATGTATGGGTAGATAGAGAGAGTGCAGTGATGATATTGGGAGCGTGATTCCAGAAATCGGGTGGGATGTGGGGTCCTGAGTTCATGCGGACGTTTTCTTGTTTGTTGCTGACCCAACCCAACCCCAAGAAGTACTAGTCCATTTCCACCTCCAAAGTTGAACCAACACCAAGTCACTGCCATTTCCGTAACCACCCACCGATCCCTCATCAATTATTTCTCCCACAACACCACTCATCTTCCCATTCCCAAAACCTTCACTTACCCACCCCATTCTCTCTCTCTCTCTCTCTCTCTCTCTATATATATATATATATATATATATATTCATTCATTCATTTCATTGATTCCTCTCTCATCGCCTCATGGATGATCCCAAATAATCTCTCTCCCTCTCTGCATATAAAATCCAGGTATTTTTATGTACACTTTGTTTATTTTTTGATTCAAGATATGCTCTTTTTTTTCCCTCTCTCTAAATCATATTCTTCCTTGTTTGGCAATGCATTTTTAGGATCTCGCGAGATTATTTGCCTTGAACCTGAATCATATCATTTGATATTGAGGTAATCTATAAATTCTTTTAGCAAAGTCGTTTTTTTTTTTTTTTTGAAATTTTAGTTTTATGTTGATTGTGGATTTTTTTTTAATTTTAAAAATTCAAACAGATGCATTTTGAGCAGGCATCGTAATTTGAGGTATTCCCAGCTTGTTATGTTTCAGAATCTAACATTTTCTCTCATCTTGTACAGGCTTACTCTTTCTGGTAATATTGTTGGTACATTTTTAGATCGATAGAATTGGTGGCAAATTAGATTCGACTTTGGGAAGATGTTAGGAGGCGAAAATGGCAATAATATAGTTCCTGTTTTCTTTAATGAGAACTGTTTCCAGTATCACACTGATGCATCAAGTCAGCTGCAATTATTTGGAAATTGTGCGTTTTCTGTTCATTCAGTCTCTTATTTTATAAGAATTATTTGTTCTTGTATGGTTTTAAATAATTAAATATGGATGTTTATTTAATTGTCTTTTGATCATTTCAGTTTTTCAGTGGTTGAACATTTATTAAAATCACAATTTTACATAATATAACATAAAAGGAAAACAAATATTTGATTATTAAATAGAACATTTTGCAGTTGACTATCCTATCTAAAACAGTGTGAAGATTATTGTAACTAATGAGTTGATTGAGGCAAGAATTAATCTGCTGGATATTTCATGTTAGTGAATACATTCCTTGCTCTGATGAATTTTGAATATTAATTCCTTAATTTTCATGTTGGTGAATACATTTGAAAGGGAAGACGATTATTAATGAGATAAATATATGTAGAAGTGGCTTCAAACCAGTTCTACTTGGTCCTGGAGGCCTAAAAAAACAAAAACCGGGGACAGGCTCAACTCTGTGATTTGATAATGTCTGTGTTCAACATCATTTTTTATCCAGCTTTGTGTAAATTTTTCTTTTTACTTTGACAGTCTTTTTATCAATGGTCTTCTCAAGTGAATGGCCTCTGTAGATGATCTCCCCGAGATAAATCCAAACTGGTTTTCAATTCTTTCCTCTTAGTATTTGTTGTATAGTTTTTTTTTTTTCAATAGTTTCATAATCTTGACTTATTAAAATGATTCCTCTATATTTGATGCAATTTTGTAAATCCCTTTTACTTTTATAACTTGGTACTATACTACTGTTTCTCCATTCATTTGGCATTGCATTTGCGCTGCCCTTTAAAACCTTATTTAATAGGTTTAGCCATTCAATTATTACACTCCCTAAAGTTTTCCAAATCTCTCTTGGTATATTCTCAGGTCCCAAAGTTTTATTCTTTTCCATATTTTTGAAGTCTTATCTCAAATTCAGTTTTCTGTATTAGCTTCATTAATCCCAATTTCTCTCCAGGATACTCATTTTAATAGTTCATGAGATTATAACAGTAGAGAGAATATTGTGATTGACAATTTGATTAAGGTGTGGATCAAATTCTGATATCTGTCTTGGAATCTACTTGTAGATGAATATCTTGCTGAATCTGCTGGGTTTTGAATAGTTTCCTTGTTAAAAAGAAATATTTACCCTTCCTAATTAGCCCAAACATATGGTGACATCTGCAGTTGGGAGCATGTTTAGATTGCCGAAATAGTGAAATGTACTACTCGGCAAGCCCCTTTTTGCGCAATTGAACTCATAGATCATATGTTGCTTTCCATTTGGCTTAGAAAATATCTGGATATCTGCAAGAGACGTGACCTTGTGATATATATCTTATCTCTTGCGCCTATGCATGCGAAGGGATAGGTTCTTCCTTTAAGCAGTGTTTAGTATATGCTACTTAGGGCTTAGTTGTAATCATAACTATACTCCTAGGGAATCTGGTCTTACACCAAATGACACCACTTTTCTTTTTCATGAAATGAAAATCATTTTATCTCTTTGCTTAGTTCAACCTCGTGTTCAACTTTGTTGGCTTTCTAATAGTTGGACTGATCTTATCTACCATCTTGCAATCTATGTTGCAGTACCAGGTGGACGCAATGTTGATCCTGTAAATTATTTCACAAATGAGCATAACACTCCTTTTCTTCAACCTAATAAACGAAGCAGGGATCCAGGAAATGTCTCAAAGAAGCAGAAGCTTCAGATTTCCTTAAATTATAATAGCTGTCATGATGAAGCTGATCGGTCAGCTAGCATACCGAACCAGAACCCTGTATCAACCGGCTTAAGGCTGTCATATGATGATGATGAACACAACTCCTCTGTTACATCTGCAAGTGGAAGTATGACGGTAGCACCGGCAATCATCTCGTCCCTTGGAGTTGACATTAGGACTGAACTTGATAGGCAGAATGAAGAACTTGATCAATATATGAAAATTCAGGTACTATTGGCTACTCTCCTTCAAATGAATTATTAGGTAGATGTAACCTGTGATTGTATGCCTTGATATTGGGTTATTGGCATCCACATCCTGTGTAATGAAGAGTGTGCAAACCAAACAATATCCACACAGCCAGGTTATTTGTCACGACCCGCCCCGCTTTGCACAATTTCTGTGCTCACGTTTTTCTACTCATTTAGGAGGCATCCGCACATAAGTGTGTGCCAGCAACCTCCCCAACCAACCCCCTGAAGTTATGGCGTCAGTTTGCAAACTATACTCCACATGTATGTACATATAGTTTGTGCATATTTATATTTGATAATTCCTGATTAATCAATTACCGTGTAGTTTATTTTTCCAATATCCAATTACTTTTTTCTTTTCTTTCTTCTTCATTTTTTGGATGTTGTTATATGGAAAATTTAAATTACCTCCAGTAATCACTGAAAACAGGAGCGGAAGGGAATGACTAGGGCAGTGAATGGCTAGGGCAGTTTCCTTCCACCGCAGTGGGAGTTTTTTGTTTTTCTTTTTCCAGAAATGTAACGGCTTAGTTTCCTTCTTTGAGTTTTTTACTGGCATTGATGAATATTTTCATCATGTTTTTGGTCAATCAATTTTTATGGCATTCCATCTGGAAGCCTATGCATGATGAAACAAAATATATATCTACTATAACAATATCTGAATGGGGGTCATTGTTTTTTGATGTTGGAGTTCAGGGAGGACTATTTTTTTTTAGGTTAACAATATATATGTAAATATATTTTGTATCAATGGACCATCTTATGATAATTAGTTCTAAATTAGTAATTCATCTCTCTCTCTCTTGTAGCACCTTTGAAGCAGTAATTAGTTTATGATGGTTTTCATGCTAATCTCTGCACGTTAACATCTATTGCTCTTTAAACAGAGAGAAAATCTGGCAAAGGGGGTAAGGGACATAAAGCAGAGACACATGGCTTCTTTCCTGAATGCTGTAGAGAAAGGTGTTGGTAAAAAGTTGCATGAGAAAGATCTCCAGATAGAGAACATAAACCGCAAGAACAGAGAACTGGCCGAGAGAATAAAGCAAGTGGCGACGGAAGCCCAAAACTGGCACTACAGAGCAAAATACAATGAGTCGGTGGCTAATGTCTTGAAGAACAACCTCCAGCAGGTGCTCTCACGGGGTACTGCCCTAGGGAAGGAAGGATTTGGAGACAGTGAAATAGATGATGCTGCCTCCTACATTGAGCCAAACAACAACTGCCTTAAAGTTCCCGGTAGGCTTGGGAAGGCTTATTTCATGAAGGATAACATGATTTGCAGAGCATGCAAAGCCAAGGAGGTATCTATCTTGCTGATGCCTTGTAGACACTTGTGTTTGTGCGAGGACTGTGAAGGGTTAGTCGGTGTTTGTCCTGTATGCCAGTTAATGAAAACTGCTAGTGTTCAGGTGTACATGTCTTGAAATAGCAATCAAATAACTTAAAATTGAGAAAAAAAAAAAAATTCCCCATGCTCTTCTTTTGATGTGTGATTTAAGTTGGTTTGTTCTCTAAAATTATTAAATGTATGTGGATGACTTGTTAAATTCATGTAATGGATATGTCATCTGTGTGATTTTCTCCTTCTTGCTGCTACTCTGTTAGAGAGAGATGGCACTTTTTAGCCTCCCTGCAAGCTTTGTTGAATTGTTTCAACTATGGTCCGGTAACTTATTAGGTCATTGATTTGTGGTCACTTTACAATATTGGTAAGTTCAAGGGGGATTTGGAAGGAAATGAGTGGCTATTCTGTAAATTTTTTATAACAAATTTTGGTCCTAGGGGTTGGCAATAGGGAGGATTTGGACAGGTTTTGGGCCTGGTCATGAATGGGTTACTAACCCATTATCAAGGAGGTTACAAGTGGGCTGATGAATCCGCATACAACCAGTTCACATAAATTTATTATTATTATTTCTTTCATTTTCCCCCTTTGGCCCACAAAATTATGCTTGTATATGACTTTTTATTATATGTGTGATTTTATGAATTCTATTTTATACAAGTTAAATTTACATATTGTACTAATCAAATGTAAATTTTTATCCAGGATTTAGAAATTGATTTAGGCAAAATTAGCATGATAAGATATATATTTTTTCAATTAAATTAAGTTTATAAAATTACAATAAAAAAATTGAAGAAGAAAAAAAAGAATAAAGAATAAATAAATTTTAAGGAGGAAGAAGAAGGATAAATAACAGAAAAATTAGAGAATTTTGAACAGAAAAAAAATTTAAAATTTTTTGAAGGAAGGAATGCAAAATCCTTTTGAAGAGAATCAAAAGCAATGTGAAGAAGAAAATAAAAAATAAAAAAGCAGAGCAAGGTTGGGGACATGAAATTAAAAAAATAAAAAAAATTAAGAGTAGCCATCTGGAAAAAGTTCGGCGCCGCCGCCGCATTCGTGCCTATTTTCAGTTACAAAAACCAAAATTCGTGACAAACTTTGGAGAGAGAAAAGATGAGACAGAAAACGAGAGGGGATAGAAGAGGGGAGAGAAAGAGGAGAGGAGAGGGAAAAAAAACGGAAGAGAGAGAAAAACAAAAAAAATAATGGGTTAGGAGTGGGTATTCATTCTTAACTCACTACCAACTCACTAAATATGTTACTTGTTAATGATTAATCCATCCGTGATCAGTCCAACTAAACTAGTCACCCAAAACTTAATAATTATTGAGCGGGTTTTGACGAGTTTTTGGTTTGGATATATTTTTCCACCGCTACCATGCAGTGACTTATGACAATAATTTACCCAGTGCAACAATAAAATTCATTTAAAAAGGAAAAAGAGCATGAAAAAAATGGTGTTGGCCTTCATGTTTGGGGAAAATTGAAGATAAACATTGTTTGTAATTTTGCAAAAATGGGATATTTTCGCACTTTCTTTTTTTTTTTTTTTTCATTGCACCAGTTGCAAAAATAGATCCATATGATCCAATAAAATTGAATCCGATATTCCACAGTGCTATCAATGAAGGGGTTACTATTTGATTTATCAATGAAGGGGTTGCTTCAATTCTTGGAAACATTTTTTCTAACTCATTTTTTTAGGAAATCAAACGAATTTTCAAATTGTTTGTGTTCTTTAAAAGCAGAAACCTATATATATTTTTCCTTGGAAAGAAGTGAACCAAAAAAGTCCTAAATGACCTCAAAATTGTGTAATCAGGTAGATTTTTCAGTCATCTTTGGCCTAAATGAGTAAAATAATTGGACAAGGCAGGTCATTTAGTAGTAGTGTTTGACCTTAATCACCTCAATTATCCAAATTTATGCAGTTCTGTGTTCACACATCATTGTCATTCTTTGTATTGTTGATGAATTAAGAAACAAGATTTGTATAAGAAACAATAACATTTATTTATTTAATTTCTCATTCATACAGTATATTGCACCTGTAGTGATGTTGATGAATCATAATGGAATAGTTGATGTTCATGTGAGATTGCCTGTAAAAGAAAATATTTCAACAAATTTGCAGTCGCAAGTGGCATTGGACCATTGGGCACTGAATGAAGAGTAAAGCAAAGGTATCCCAAAAACACATACTTACACTTGAAGTGTGGGCATGTAGAAAACATAACACCTTCATCTACTTTCAAGCCAAGCCATATAATAACCCCACAAATCCCTCCATTTTCACCACTAATCTGCACATATAAATTAATCCCCAATGTCTTCAATTGATTTATGTAAATCAACCAGTATTCTACAACCACCAGAATTCAAAAAAAAAAACAAAAAAAAAAAAACATGGACAACATTTTCTTGGTGTCCTTTTTCAGTTTGCTGATAGTGGCTCATGGAATTGCAGAAAGTAGTAACTTATACGACGACGTTGGTGTTCTCGGAGAGCTTGAAAGCTTGGACATTGAAGAAGCAGGTGATATCGAACTCCTTGACCTCCCATGGTTGACGAGTGAAAGAGGCAGTAAGTATCTCGTCAATGTGGATGCTTTTGGTGCAGTTGGAGATGGTGTTTCCGACGACACTCAGGTGAATGAAGAAATGTTGTATTATTCTTAAATCTACCTAAGTTGTGCTCAGTTTTGTATTAAAATTCAATCTCATTATGTATATGCATAATGCATTGTCCTCAGGCATTCACAAGTGCGTGGAAGCAAGCTTGCACGACGCCAAATTCAGTTTTCATGGTTCCGATGGGACGTCGTTACGTTGTTAATGCTACGAGATTCAGAGGGCCCTGTGCTGACAAGTTAGTGATCCAGGTAAAGCCTTGAACACTCTCCATTTCATTGTCTTTTTAGGTGGTTGAATGTGTTGTTACTTATTATTAATAGTTTAATACTATGCAGTATTAGATAACAATCCATCTTTATTTTGTTTGGACAACTATGACCTTGTCTATTTGGGTGATGTAGATTGAAGGAACAATTGTAGCACCAGCTGAGCCCAAAAGTTGGGATCCGAAAAACCCACGAATTTGGCTCGATTTTTCCAATCTGACGAAGGTTGTTTTCCAAGGAGGTGGAGTGATTGACGGGTCAGGAAGCAAATGGTGGGCGGCATCTTGCAAAACGAACAAGTCAAATGTAGGTCTTCTGAATTACTGAAAGTAGTTGAATTCAACAAAATAAATATCAATGTTTCAATTTGTTATTCCTTATCTGATATGCTTTTGTTACCTTTTTCCCTCCTTTTTGCAGCCTTGCAAAGGAGCACCAACTGTATGTATCTTCCTATCACTCTTCTTATCACTCTATTGTAGATATTAAATATTACACCAAAAATTTATGCAAGCTTGCATGATACAATTTAGGGTTAATTTCATTGATACTATCTTAGATTTGGTCAAATATTACACTAAAATACCTTTCGAAATTTACTATTACTTAATTACAATTTTACTTTTCCATCGCTGATACCGATAAAAATCACGCCAAAAGACAAAATTGCCCATAATTTTTTAATACCATTTATTCCACAATATCAACTAACTAAAATGACTATTTTACCCCCTCATTACTCCCACCTAAACAAAGAAAAAAGAATGAATGAAATATTCAAGGTGGTCGGAAAAGCGAAAAAAGCGACAAGACCAACTCATAACCACAAGAAGAACAAACAACTAAGAAACAATAATACTTATAATAATATATATATTTGTGTCTTATTGTACCTTATTATATATATTATTATATTGTACCTTATTATATATATTATTATGAGTATTATTGTTTCTTAGTTGTTTGTTCTATATATATATATATATTTACCTTATTATTATTATTATTATAAGTATTAGTATTTCTTAGTTGTTTGTTCTTCTTGTGGTTACGAGTTTGTATTGAATATCTTTGTGAAAAGTACGTCTCTTATAACTGAACTTACATGATCAATTATTTAGTTTGTGAAGCATCAGAAAAATTCTTTCCTTTCGTCTTTTTTCATACTCATTTCAAGTCATTCACATTTCTCCTTTTTCTTTGTCAATCTTTTGATGAATTTAATATGAAATTTATGTTACTACTTGTTAGAAATGCCATTATTTTGCATTCTTCGTGTTTAGTTATACAGTAGGTAAAATTTCCTATGAAGGCCTAGACTAACGAGCTACACTATTTTGATGAGATTAGTGATGCACCCGGTGAATATTGAGATAAAGTTTCAATTGCAATGTAGTATATATATATATATATATATATATATATATATATATATATATATATATATATGAGATAAATAAAGTTTGAAAAAGAAAAGAAGAATGAAAGAATTAATTGGGGGTTTCACTGGTACTACGCGTCGGGAGTTTGACCAATAGTGCTATACTATTAAATTTCGGAAATATTTTATAATATATATATTTGAATTGAATGGTCAAGAAGTTATTTGGCTAGACAAGAAGTTGAATACTCAGTTGCTTATTTTACGTATGTATGTTAAATTCAGATATTAAATTCAGTTCAACAGTTAGTTGTTCATGTGTGACGTTTAGTGATATCACCAATTTCTATCTTTATCCCACGAGATGTCAAAGATAATATTAAATTATCAGTTCATAATTTAATTTTTGAAAGGTGTTTTAATGTGATACTTGACCAAACTTAAGGAGTGTCGGTGAAAATTTATACAAACACGCAGATACAATCTAATGAGTGCACGCACATTTAAGCAGCAAAATTGTAAACTGAAGGAGTTCACTGAATGCAGGCATTTACTATAGATTCAAGCTCAGTTGTGAGGGTGAAAGACCTCACCATTCAAAACGGCCAGCAGATGCATTTCACCATTTCCCGGTCTGATTCTGTGCGGGTGATGCGTGTACAAGTTTCTGCTCCGGGAGACAGTCCCAATACTGATGGAATCCACATCACTCAATCAACAAATGTGGTTGTCCAGGACACCAAAATAGGAACAGGTTCTCTCGAACACAACTGTCCCCATCTTTTTACTTTTTCTCTTTGAAATAGCCGGTATATGTGATGCCTCTTTTGTACAAGTCATACACATCTACTACATGCATGAATTGCGGAGTTAACCCTGGAAGAGATGCACATTAATTTAACATTCAATTGATGTCCCAAGAAAAAATATACTGACAAGTTGTATAATATGGTGTTTAGGGGATGATTGCATCTCTATTGTTAATGGTAGTTCAAGTATCAAGATGAAGACAATCTATTGCGGACCTGGTCATGGAATCAGGTATTCTCTGATTTTGGAAGTATCCCATCCAAGTCATATAACATTTTTTTTTTTTTTTTCGGAAATTCAAAGCAGAACATTCTTAAATAAATATATATATATCAGCGCAGAATTAAATGTGTCATGTATACGATTTGAGCTAATTAAGCATTCCGAGATTTCTAAAGGATTTAACCAGTTTTATAGTTTTGAATGTCTTCCCTTACTCTTCCTTTTGTTGCATAATTCAGCATAGGAAGCCTTGGGGAGAACAATTCCACTGGCATTGTGACAAAGGTGGTCGTGGACACGGCATTCCTCAGGGAGACTACCAATGGCCTCAGGATTAAGACTTGGCAGGTAATTCTTTTGTTCCATTAACATCATAATCTGATAAACACATTCCAGCATTATTATAAAGATATATATATATATATATATATATATGGTACCTGAACAACCTTGGTCTATAGTTATGTTAGTGACATGAAAATTACGCATAATGCACATTGTGAGGCTCCATTGGAGTGCTCAACATCATGTTCAATCCCAGCTACTTCTACTGTTGATTTTGACAGTTTAACTAAAAAGGGACAAACAAAATATGTTTGATAACAAATTTCTTTCATCAGTCAAACAACATGCATAAAGAGACCATAGTCATGTTGATGCCTTGTACAAGAAAACTCTCTTATGTACCATTTTCCTAGTACATAACATGTATGCATTTATTGTCTTGTTACTTTGTGTGATATAATTAACGCTAGGATTTCTTCTGTCGCTTGTTTTTGTGTGTAGGGAGGATCTGGTTATGTTAAAGCAATACGTTACCAAAATGTGAGAATGGAAGATGTTTCAAACCCAATCATAATTGATCAATTCTACTGTGATTCCCCGTCAAATTGTCAAAACCAGGTATATATAACATCTTCCATTTTCATACCCTTCAATCCTTAATTTTTCACTATTATGACTACTTAAACAAACTCGTGGCCAAAAGACTATTTACAAAACCATTTGATTTTGATTTCTCAGACATCAGCTGTGGAAATAAGTCAAATTATGTACCGGAACATTACCGGGACTTCTAAGAGCAAAAGGGCTATGAAATTTGCATGCAGTGACTCAGTACCCTGCAACCACATAGTCCTGAACAACATCAACCTAAAGACTACCGATGGCACGGCTGAGACATACTGCAATTCGGTCACGGGTTTTGGTTATGGATATGTGCAGCCTTCAGCAGAATGCTTGACATCCACCGACAAGGCCTCCATGATCGAACAGACAGCTGAGCTTGAAGAACGAAGCAGAGAGGACTTGGTTCATACTGAACTCTGATTCTACACATAGGTGGTCATTAATTACTTCATGATTGTATTAAGCTGGATAATTAACTCAAGAGTATACTAGTATAGTATTTGATTAAATGAGGTCTTAAGTCTCTAAGATGCATAAGTCTAATTTCAAGTTAAATAACAGGTTTCATACTTTTATACACCAATTACAGTGAACCAAATTCGGGTATACAATAGAGCAGTTGTGTAATGTACCTATAATTTGAAAAAAAAAAAAAAAAAAAAAAGTCAATTTATTGACTATTGAGATTAGTTATTATATGGTTGTACTATATATGTGTACATCAAACAGTCTCTTTGCATACAAATATATCAAATCATCCTTAAACTCTACAGTGACGAAAACTTCGTGCATTGGGCTAATCCTTTATATATACGCATGTGTGTATAAACATTAGAGGGCCATGACCTCTCTATCAGCCATTGCACCTGCCCTGTGTTTGGACCACAACAAATTGTGGTACAATGGCTTTGTATAAATATATATATATATATATATAAAGGCCCAATTCTTAGACAATGACTGTTATGAGTATGAAAAATTCCAAATTGTAAGACAAATGTGCATGTGTAGATGGTGCATACACAGCACACAAAAGTGACATATCCAGAAAGTGATTATGTAATTGCACTGCGAGTCCAGGGCCATATATGGCTTGCATTGTCAGTAAAGTTATATAACAGAAGGTAACAGAAAGGAGAAAGATAAATTTTCCCATCAATTTTTGTTACCGATTATTGAGACGTGTACTCTAAAAGGAGAGAGATTCTATTCTTATTTAATATTGACAAGGGTCGGACAAGAGTCTTTGTTGGATACTAATTATTGGAGTAAGTCGCACAACAAACGGATCATGTTTTTGTAGCAAAACTCCAACAGAAAACAAGAAGGTCTGATAAGATCATGTCCTCCACTCCTCCCCAAAATCAGTTTTCATGGTTCCGATGGGACGTCGTTACGCTGTTAATGCTACAAGATTCAAAGGGCCCTGTGCTGACAAGTTCGTGATCCAGGTAAAACCTTGAACACTCTCCATTTCATTGTCTTTTTAGGTGGTTGAATGTGTTGTTACTTGTTACTTATTATTAATACTATGTAATATTAGATAACAATCCATCTTTATTTTGATTGGACAACTATGACCTTGTCTAACACATTGAACTATTTGGATGATGTAGATTGAAGGAACAATTGTTGCACCAGCTGAGCCCAAAAGTTGGGATCCGAAAAACCCAAGAATTTGGCTCCATTTTTCCAATCTGACGAAGGTTGTTTTCCAAGGAGGAGAAGTGATTGACGGGTCAGGAAGCAAATGGTGGGCGGCATCTTGCAAAAGGAACAAGTCAAATGTAAGTCTTCTGAATTACTGAAAGTAGTGGAATTCAACAAAATAAATATCAATGTTTCAATTTGTTATTCCTTATCTGATATGCTTTTGTTTCGTTTTTCCCCTCCTTTTTTGCAGCCTTGCAAAGGAGCACCAACCGTATGTATCTTCTTATCACTCTATTATAGATATTAAATATAACACGAAAAATTTATGCAAGTTTTGCATGATACAATTTAGGGTTAATTTCAATGACGTATTTTAGATTTGGTTAAATATTACAATAAAACATCTTTTGAAAATTACTATTACTTAGGTACAATTTTACTTTTCCAGATACCATTAAAAATTAGGCCAAAAGACAAAATTGCATTTTATTCCACATTATCAATTAACAAAAATGACTATTTTATCCCCTCACTACTCCCACCTAAAGAAAGAAAAAAGAATAAATGAAATATTCAAGATTGTCGGAAAAGCGAAAAGAGCGACAAGACCAACTCATAACCACAAGAAAAACAAACAACTAAGGAACAATAATACTTGCACAAAAAAATAAAAAAAATAAAAAATAAAAAATAAAAAATGTACAATAAGACAAAAAAAATTATATTATTGTATTGTGTTGGAAATCATATCTATAAGTTGACTCAATGATTGTGGCAGATTTATTAGGTCTTTAATATAGGCTAATGTTTAGGGATTTGATTTTTATTCTGATTTGATTTTATTCTGATTTGATTTTATTCTTTTTTTCATATTTGTATTTTTCCTCTTGTGTATAATGATAGTCAGGCTCTCAAATTGAGTACGCCAATTTTACCAAATTAATTTTTGGTATCAGAGCCTCAAACCTAAGCCTCCCCCCCCCCCTCTCTCTCTCTTTCACTGTCTCTTTTAATCTCTCTCTATCTTGTCACAGCCCATTCCCTATTTCTTTTTTCCTTTTCTTTACAGACTCTCTCTCTTTTTCTGGCCGCTGTTGCGACAGTCCTAGGGGGAGCCAATCTCCTCTAGGTTCGACCCCTGTAGGAGTATTCCCTTAGTCTTTTTCATGCACTAAGGGTCAAAAGACGTGTTTGTAATTTTTTGGGGTTGCCGGGATATTCGGCAGTATTTTCAGATCAGACCGTTGTGTCTCCGGCTTTTTGGTTTGATCAAAATCAGGTTTATTCCTCCTTTATTTGAAATTATTGGTAATCTGTTGAATTGTTCTATTTAATATTATGGCTGAATCAAATAATAATAAAGAAACTCTCTTTTTAGCGCAACACACACTGGCTCAACGAGTTACTAGTATGCTGTTAAATGGCCGTAATTTTGCATCCTGGGCTCATTCCCTTCGCCTCTATGTTGGTGGAAAAGGCAAATCAGGGTGGTTTTGGGTACTGAAAAGATGCCAGATATTAAAGATCTTAAATATGTTCAGTGGGATATGGACAATTGCACCATTTTAGGATGGATGTTTAATTCTATGGAGGAACGCATTTATAATATATTCATATTTTATGACTCTGTTAATGACTTGTGGACTGCTTTGAATCAAACGTATGCTCATTCTAGGAATGATGCTCGTATTTTTGAATTATACCAAGATATTGCTAAGGCCTCGCAGGAAGGCCTGAATTTGTCTGTAGCTAATTATTTTGGGTATTTGAGATCTCACTGGGAGGAACTAGGTCAATATGAGCCTCTCAGTGAATTTCCTTCCGAGGCAGCCTCTCTTCTTGTCAAACATCTTGATCGTCAGTATACCTATCAGTTTTTAATGGGATTACGCCTAGAATTTGAACCACTAAAGTCTCAGATCTTGAATGCATCACCAATGCCATCCCTGTTGGAAGCCTTTACTATTGTTGATGGTGAAACACGCAGGTACTGTTTAATGCAGCCCTCACTTGTTCCTCTACCAGTGTCTGAGTCTGCTGGGGATAGTATGGCTTTTGCAGCCAACTTTGGATCACGAGCTTCTGGAGGTCAGATTATTTGTCACCATTGTGGAGGGGTTGCGTAACAACCCGAAAAGATACCAAAATAATAATAAAAAAATCTATAAAAATTTCGGCATGACCTCAGCAGAAAATGTCCCTCAACAACCTGTAAAAATACAAAAATAAATGCAATGGCCTCACTGGGCCTTAAATCTAACTTATCATGTCCCAACACACAATTCAGATATTAATACTACATTCCCAAAATGGTTACATACATACAAAAGTTCTGTTCCTCCATCTCATCCAAACTAGGGACACATCCGTTACATCAAGTTACAGTCCATAATTGTAGCAAAAATTTTAAAGTCCATAACTTACAACATTATATTAATTAAACTAAAGTTTAACAAGGTAGTTAATATTACATTTACAAAAAATACTAGAGTCTAATACAAAAGATAACATAATAAAATGGGTCTTCAAGCTCGTTTAAACCTGTGGTGGACTGTTGTCCGCCATCTCTTTTCCATATCCTGAAAAATGTTAAAAAATAAGGGGGTGAGCATAAACTCAGTAGGAAGTGTCTAAGACACACTTCTTATGTCCCCGTGAATCCATACGATGAATAGATAAAAAGTGAACGGGATCATGCTATCAGGAAACACACATTCTCAACCACAATAAAAAGTATATAACAAATATCAACCAATCACAAATTTACCACGATGTCATGAAGTGCAATGTTATGCAAATGTCACTCCCCATTGCTGAAACAATTTCGTTTCAACAGCCAAACTGTTAGTGTAGTCCAACCCAAAACACCTCCATGGCGTCACGAAAGGAAGGTTAGTTAACTATCCACGACCACAAGGCACCTCTAAGGCGTCGCATCCGGCCTAGTTAACTCAACTACATTTCCTTCTAGACTACACCAACATCACAGACCACTAGGCGCCTCCTAGGTGTCCGATTTTCGCAACACTTTCAGAAAATATTTTTCCCAAAACAATTTTATTTGTTCTAACAAATATTTTTCCCCTTTTCTCTATCCCAATGAATGCATGAATGCTTCATGCTTGAAATCATCAATTTAACTATATGATTTCACACATTTCCATTTACATCATCATCACAATTTAATGAAAATTTCTAAACATTCATTTACTCTATTTATTTATTGATAACCATAGCACCCATTTTTTTTCTTTTTTTTCTTAAGACAATAAAGAAATAAATAATCATGGAACATACAACACATCAAACACTAAGCATGCTCATTTACCGTAATGAAAATAGGCATATATATGAACTCAAATAACAAATGGAACACAATCATCAATTTAATTACACATAACTACAACAATAACAAGCTAAGTAATTAAAATTTAGCATGCTTAGGATTAAATTTAAGGAGAAAATTCACAAAAAAACTAAGTAGTTGTAGATTAGAACACCCCTACCTCACTTAGATGCAAAACCCCCAATTTTGAGCCCAAGAACCCTAGAATTTCGAACTCCCTAGAGTGCACCAAATGATGATTGGCTCCTATCAAATTGAAGGCCTTGATGAGCTCTCCAACTTTGCTTCATAATGTTCTACCAAAATCCAAAAGATTAAAGCTAGATCAAAGCTTAAAATTGCAAAAAATAATGACGAGAGTCTCGGACGCAGAGAGAGAGAGAACAAAAAAAAAAAAGCTAGGTCATGAAATGGCCTTATGGCCTTTTGTGGTGTTTTTAATACATTGGTGGGGCCCACTTGCTTTTTTTAAAAAAAACTTTATAACTTTAATATAAATATATATAATCATACCAATTACATTCTCCCTAACTTTAAAAGATTTCATCCCCGAAATCAAGCCATACCTGAGGGAGAAAACAACTCTGGATACTTGGAGCGAACCTCCCGTTCGAGCTCCCAAGTAGCTTCCTCAACTCCGTAATGCCTCAAAAGAACCTTTACCAAAGGTATCGTCTTTTTCCTCAACA